GCCATGGATGGCTTTATTTCCTCAAAGTAAAGATGCATTGCAACTCTCGCTAAACGTGCGCTAAATTTTACATCTAATTGTTCAACAGTGGTTCGTTGTGTTTCAGGAACTTGGAAGCAAAAAACAAATGTGAAAAGTGAAAGATAATTGAAAGCACCTATGCAGCGAGTACAGCGTTAAACCAGATTTATAAATTTAATAATTTATGCGAAATATGAGAGGATGAGAAAAAGTTGTAAATTATAGCTCTTCATACTATAATCTTCTGCATTATAAAAAAAATTGCTCAAAATCTGTAACGTAGGAGATAATATGCTTTTGGTGCTTTACTACCATCAATTAGGGCTTAGTTTGAATATTCATATCGACCTATGTTGTTGGTAACTACAGCATCAACTCCAAGTTTAAATAATGCTGTAAAATAAATTCTAGGATTCAACGTTGTATGGTCCTTTTATGACCATCTTCGTTATACAACAAAAAAGTTAGCTTAGCTTGAAAGCTAGCAATACAAGTTATATATAATACAAGTTTTTACTAACTATGCGAACTTTAGTATTAAAGGGAGGAACTTTGAAATTTGTATGAAGTTTGAAAGTTTAAAATAAAATTTTCCCACAACTCCTTTATAACTTTCTGGAAAACTTCACTGGGTGTTCAAACTAATTTGTGGAAATATCAGAATGCGAAAAATATGCTATCTCGAAACAAATTATGGCTGCCACAATGCGGTCTTAAGCTAATATTAGGCACACGAATATAAATGTAATCTATCATGTTTTGAAATATAGACAGTGACATACTATATTGCTTCGTTTATATTCAATAAAAATACCAGGTTCGAAACCATTCTAATGAACATTGAAAAATACGTCAATACACAACTTTTGAAATATGTGTCAATTTACTAAGATAGTTCTGATATGACACGTAACAGAACAGAACCTCAAACTCGCTTTTCAAGTCCGACATCGAAATTTTGGTCAATGTCAAATTCCGGTAAACAGATTCGGCATTTGCGTATGTCAAGAATATTTAGTATAGACGTAATATTAATTATATTTAGTGAATTTCTTATCGTATTTAATTATTATCTTCAAAATTGGGAGGAAAATAATTTTTAATTATATCGAGGATGCGGTTTAAGGCAATTATACTTCACGATCTCAATAATTCATCTGAAGAATTTACATTGTTACATTTTTGTTTTCCACGTTTTCATAATTGTACCGATGTATTCTATTAAAAATATACACCTGTGTATTTAAATAGAGCAAGTATTTAACAATAAATACTCAGATATATACAACTAGCCATGGATATATACATTGAAAGTGTATAATTAATTTGTTAAATGTTTTCTTTCATCCTAAAGTCTCGTGTTGAATTAACGAATTAGAAGTATTGGGGCACAAAAATCGATAAAAAATAAGACCAGCATCTTTGTCCGCTTTTTTACCATCATTTTAAAATTGGTTGGGTTGTTTTCCCAATGTCCCGTCGCATTCAGAACAAAATAGTTATTTCAAACGACATCTGCTAATGCTAAGGGTACAAACAAAATGAAATGACGACTTAGAGTAGGTCGGTTTGCACAAACTCGTAGTACTTGATACTCACAGTGGGCGAAACAAATATATAGAACTCATTCACTTCATGGTCTATATATTCTAGTTGTGTTTTACACGATCCAATGAGTTTTCCGGATAACCAGTATGAGTCATAATTTTATAAGTGGTCATGATTGAACAAACTCGAATATTGGCTGGACTAGCGATTGATGACAGATTAGAAGTGAAATATAACATGGTTAGGACTGATGAGACAACTACATCTGTTAACGAGTACTGCCATTCGTCAAACAATCTCAGTTAGCCATACGGTGTACGCGATTTTCACGGCATCCTATATTGTAAATAGATTTTCTTCCGGTTAGGCGACAATTCGAGAAACTCTAAGTCAAGATACGTCTGTATTGAATGATGCGATACACCATAATCAATATGAAGTAAACAAACGAAAGTATATTAGTATTTTATATACGATAACTAAGCATTTCGCAGTACTTTTTGTGAGACAATTATTTGTGGGTGTGAAGAAAATACGCTGGCGAACAAAGTTTTAACATATTTCATGACTAATTTCGATTAGATGTGCACAATATACACGAATACAGCACTCATATAGAACACGAGTCATAAGACACCTTGAGAGACTAAGAGGAATGGTAGCGGTAATTCGACATGAATCAGATTCTCCTACAAAAATGAGGCCTGGTAGTTTCATCATTTTGGAATTAATAAAGTTAGCATTTTAGATGTATTCTTTGTGAAATATAAAAAAAATGAGCGAATGTGTAAATAAATGCGCTAAATGGAAAACTTGTTGTTTATTTATTACCATGTGAAAGCCAGAAGAACTTTATCATTACGTGTTGTACAGAATGTTTACTATCATTTACAATCTGCCGATAAAAGATCATAACGAATTTGCCCTGGGCTATGATGTTCGACGTTTTTATTTCCAATTCACAATAAGGTCCATTTTTACAATAATCCCATTTTATTGATTATATACAATCGAACGAGCATAAATCAACAGTGAGTCGCATCATTCAGGAATGTTTCATTCGTGGGCAATCCATGATAAAGGCTTTGATATTCCAGTGAATTAGAGGGCAATTATACGAAAATTCTACCACGTTACGCGATAAACACATAATAAGTTTTTCATTTCCGATAGTTCTTGAAGTATCATTTTAAATGGATTTTTGCAATTAAATTGTCCCAATTATTGCTAAGTTGAATGTTTTCAAGCGAAGAAATGATCTAGGGATTATATATGATCTAATACAATCTCTACATCTAAGATGATTTTACACCGTACTTTAAAAATATTAATCCTCTATTTGCTTTCAGCGGTAATACTGTTCTATGTGTGAACATAATATTATCAAAAATCGACCATTTTAAACTATGGTAACACGTTTCAGTGATTCCATCATGTGATTATGGCTGTTTATGAAAAACAGCATTTGTATTTTAATATTATTTTATCATTATTTACAGGTATATTGGCATGGAGGCGACATTAAGAAGTTTAAATGAATAGCTTTTTGGAGCTATGCCCTACAAATGCTAGAATCTGTATTGTATACTATATAACAGCGGGACATATGTGTCTTGGGCATTATAAAATTCATATATACGGCCTCGAGAGTTTACATTTGAGTCTTTGAGTGGTTAATAACAAGAATTAAAGCAATTCGTGATGGACATTAGTTGGTGAAAATTTTCTTGCTTTCAGACAAATTGTGAAAAAGATTTAAAAAACGAAACGCTTTTCGACTCCTACCAGGATAAACAATTTCAAAAGTCGTCATATATCGTTATATTGACGGGACATTAACAAAACATTTCGTATGACTACAACGGCTATTCAAAACTCTCTGAAGATATCCTTCCCTAATATATGCACAAGATATCTGCAGATATTGAATTCCCTTAATTGAGAAACGCAGACAAAGTAGGCAATATCAGGTAAGGAGACCACGAAACGAATCGATGTATATTTCAATCATATCATACTGGTGGCATCATTGCACAATTTGCAATTTTCAGCGACGTGTATTTGGAAGTCTTACTAAATGCTATAACCTACTTTCGAATGAGCAGCTAATACCCACGCGAGCTACACGAGTAACCGAAAAGTAAACCAAATTTGTTTATTCAAGTGTAAGAAGTCAAACAGAAACATACAGCCCAGTAAATAATATCTAAGTAAACAAAAACCGCTTATATTCATTTCATTAAGATCACTCCTACATGGATTAGCGCTTTAGCGCGCTAGCTACATTGAAAGCAATCTCGTCTGATGAGTTGAAATTGCCACTGAGGAGGCACAAAATATACTAACTAGGGCCAAAGTGAATCATACGATTGAAGTGATGGAAAATCATATTGAATAATATGTTCCCTATTCCATAAATGACAGTTTTAACTTACTTTGCTATCAAGCACCAACTTTTCAAAAATCCAAATCAAATTTTCAGACCGAAAATCCACAAAACTACTTCGTTACAATACAAAATAGAAATGAAGATGAAGTAGACTACCCTTCTTCCTAATTTGATAACCATCGACAAATTAATTAAGCGTTTATTTGTTCGATAATTTTATATCATTCTAACCTAGTTTCCCACGTTTTTGGCACGGATCAGTATAAAATATCGAATAACCGTTATATATCGATTTTGGTACCAAAGGAATTGACCAGAGCTAACTTATCCCCGTGGAAAATTTACTGGTATCGACCACAAGTCTCTTATGGGAATACTGAATAGGTATATTTCCGATGAAAAGACGTGAAAATGTTGACGCCCAAATTAACACCACATCAAACATGAATTGTTGTAGGATAAAAGCTTTGAATTTCTTCCTACTCATATTTAGTGCATGGTCAGGCCTGATTCAGAAGCAATTTATATAGGGATGTACTACATATCCAAAAGACAAAACATCAAATCATTTTTTCTATTCCCATGCGTTGTTAGACCTATTAGCGCGGAAATGACCCGCAACAGCAAATTGGCAAATTCCGTTACATATTGGCGGCTTAGTTAGCCTATTTTCACACGCTTTTACATATACACACTAAAAATATGGCACAGTGAGAATAACAATGAACATGATCTAAGGAAGTATTTCTATTCAAGATATAACTGTTGCTAAACTATTTCGAAACACAGTATGTAAGTTATATAAAAATATTTTCTTATTGTCCGTTAACAGGAAAAATTTTATAGCAAAAATTACTACGAGAATATATAGACAACATAAAATTCACGAGCATCATTCGTATGTACTTCTCGATAAATGTATATTAATCTTCATTGGTTTGGTCACGGCCATGTTAAACAGACAAGTTTTTTAAATAACCTTAACAATCGTTGAAAATGCTCAAATTAGTGCAAAAATTGAAATCTAGGAAACGATACTTACTTTAACTGCACTTCTTCAACTTCCCTTGAGGCTTTACTATGAATAAGTCCGCTGAAATATTTAAAAATACAATGTAAAACGACTTTAATTAAAGCAATGAGAAGTTCAGATCACACGGAAGAAAACGTGTACGCGTTTTAAAATTAGGACTTGTATAAAAACTGTATCTCACCTCTTTTTCCAGTCACAAGAATTAGAAACTTGTCTCCCTGCAACTGTATTTAGTAACAACAGAAACAAAGTAGCTTGAATATAATCCATGGTTATACTCCAATTATTTTCACAACAATCTTTGTAATTGTATTATGAATAGGTTATATACTTAAAAATTGAATTAAATTATATTAAAGAAAAAGTAAGTTTTAGGGTTATCTCGTATTTCTTATATTACAAATATTACTTGTAAAATTACTGAATACAGGAATACGCAGAGAGATCCAATATTCGCAAGATGCGCCCTTGTTTGCCGATACGTACTACATTTGATGAATTCAGTGATAATACTAGAACCTAATTAACATAAACAAAAACACTGTTTCGTCGTACATGTTTTATGAAGCAATAAGTACAAACTGACTTCACTTTTCCTTATACTGTTATACCTAATACTGTAATATTAACCAGATTATCACAAGACTATAACTTCATCGATATTGATTCACACTTACGCGCCGACGCAAATGAAATAGATGATTCAGATAAAGTAAGTAGTAAATTTCTTGACAAATTTTCATTATGATCCCGTATCAAAAAATCTCAGCACTGCCATTTTGGCCAACATGTCCATTCTATTACCATTAGAATGCTATCCTTCGACTTAGTCCTTCGGTCTTGATTCACGAAAAAAGACAATAACTCGGAAATCTATTGTTTCGAACGTCGTACCTCTCATCGAAAACAAAACACGGCAAGCTATACAACACCGATACCTATTATTCGCTCGTAATATACTACAAACGGGCATTGTTTGGTGCTGATCACAGGAATTTACCCGCTGAGATAACTTAGGTTCAGTAGTGATTTCGCATTTGATTCATGCGAGATTTTTGTTGGGACCTCTGAGCTTTTGAAGACAACAATTCCATTCTACGCCACCTGAGCGTTCTCGGACACCTTCCACGAACGTGTCGCCGTCTGCGGTCGTTCACAAAGAAATGGAACGCTCCGTCGCGCAGCCCTTTTCTCTCGCACTCAATAAATCATGTCAAGCGTGTAACAGATTTAGGGCTCAGGCGCTATGATCTCAAGTAAAATACTAATGCTATTATAATAACACCTTACATTCTATCAATACATTCCATCTTCGTTGTCTTGATCTATACGATTGGAAGATCTATTCACAAATTCCTGGAAATTGAAAACTCATTTCTGACGTATATGTTGAACATGTTTTTATTTTTAATTTCAAATACTGTATTTGTTTGTAGAACAGGTACCTGCTGCTGATTACTTCCTTTCCATTCTATTATATATGAATAAATGAATAGAAACCTTTGCGGAACTGTGTGTGTGTATGTGTATAAAAGAATTACATAAGTATAGGTGTGTATGTGACGCTCAAAATATGTTTCTCTATTCATATAAAAATGACTCTTTTTCTCTCTCCAGATTGAAGCATCACTAACTTGCTGTGAGCTACCGGAAAATGCCCAAATTATGGTTGTACCATACACGCCAACAACATCGTATTCTATTAAAAATTTCAAATACTAAGACAATACTTAAAAAAAGTGTGAGCACACATGAACATAAAAAAGGATCATTTAACGATATTTAACTCGACTGTTTAGTATAAAAATAGGATTTAATAAAACAATATCACGACTTATTGCTCTGTCGTTCTTAAACGCAAATTTCAGCTGAAAACATTTCACAGATCACAACACAAACTCTAATTTTCACTACCTATCCATCGCTATGCTAATAAATTTTGATATTGAGCTTCAAGTTAATTTCAATTCAGTCTTCTTAAAAGGTTAACTTATTTTTATAATATATAATACTTCTATACTCATATATAGACAAGTTATCTTAAGAAAACATCAAAGTTTCTTCATTTTCTCAATTAATTTTAAGACGTCGTAACATCGCTTCGACTAATTACCTCACAATATATACTAGTAATAAATTATTACAAGAGTAATTGGCGGCAGAACATCACTCAATTATCGAAAATGCAACTTGCACTGTGTTGTTTTTCTTCTCTCTTCATCCAGGAACTACTTATCATAGCCTCCGGATACGGCACTAATCTCTCGATCCGGCAGTGCGAATTATCACACAATTATATCGCTCTTCCGATCGGGGTGTTAATCCATATGAAACTAATTTGCATTACTCCAGCTAAGTTTTTTCATCTCCTTCACTTGTCCGAACATGAGTTGTAGATAAAACAAGACCAATGTGGCTGTTGTATATGCATGGGTGATCAAGATTATAAACAAAAAACTTATAAACAAAAGAAGTCGCAGAGTTTTGCAACATTTTTATGTCATTATAATGAGAGATCTGTGTTTTGACACGTGTGTTGGATTATCAGCATGGAGGAAGTACCAACTTAGATTTTGAAGTATTTCTCAATAGGCGCATATGTGAATGGATGTGGCACAATACGGTTCTAATTTCTGAAATTTAGGACGATATTTTAGACCGGGTGTGTGCAATCTGTGGCCCACGGGTCAGATGCGACCTACAAGGATGAATTGTGCGGCCCGCGAAACGAGTTTTTAATTTATTTTTATCTGATAAGCGCGAGTTCCTATTCCTTTGCGCTGCAAAGCCTATACCGGAGTCCAATTTATAATCTTTGCCTGTGACGTTACAATGCCCTAACAACTAACTAGCTCAGCGTTTCCCAAATTTTTTGGGCCACGGAACACTTAAGCTTTTCATCCCGTCACGCGGAACACCAAAATATGAAAGGGTAAAAGTGATAAAGAGGTGTAATGCAGCAGTTCCCAAAGGGTGCATGCGCCGCGAAAACTAACAGGACTCCATATTTCACTCCAAATTTTAATATTTTTTTGCATATTCGGCCACTGGTACCGAATTGAATCGATGGAACCCGATTTGTAATTTTCATTTGGAAGATCATTTAACAGATTTCTGTGTACGTAGCATAACGTGTTATACATTTGAGATTGTTTTCTTGTTTTATTTATTTTTTATTTTTGTTTTACTCACCACAATATATGACAGAATAAATCAGGGGTCTCCAACTCGAAATATGTCGCGGGCCACTTTTTGAAATTTATTGACGACGCGGGCCGCAAACTAACAAATTGTATACAAAATTGTTATACAAAAATTAACTGAGTAAATCTGAATATATTTGTTGAAATTACCTTTAATCTTACACCAAGCGAGACATGAAACATATTCGTTCACTTGTGTTGGATATTTGGCACCGTTTTGTAGCGGTGAGACTCGATGTTTGGAAGCCTTCAACATACACTCTTTAATAAAGCTTCCCTCAACGAAAGGACGCGACGATTTCGCAATCATCTTACTTGTGGGGTTATGGCAAAGCTTGCTTCCATCGAATCTTCACAAGTTTTGTTTGTGTCTGAGAAAAATTTCTCTGTTTCATCAGTGAAAATTTTATTTGCGATACCTTTTCGGGACAAATTGTTTCAGTATAAACATAGTATTTTCCACTGTGTAATGATCCATAAGTTCATGATAATCTAGTTTTGCGTTAACTGCACATATGATTCATAATTAAATAATGATTCACAACTGCACACTTCCATGATCTGACCGAAATTTCGTTTATTTCGTCATAATGAAAACGCGAAATGAGATGGTTGAATATACAATTTGATTATTACAATAGAATAACATATGAACGTGGTAAAGTGGAATAACGGGGGGAATTTTTGTTTTACTTTTGAAAGTTTGTTGTACCGGACTCTTGATGTTAAATAACACGATAGAACTCATAGTTGACATCATACTATTTTAGTTTTAGTTAAAATCTCAAACACGACGCGGGCCGCAAAAAAATGCTTTGTGGGCCGCGAGTTGGAGACCCCTGGAATAAATGGTACAGAGTAACACAGACTGTAAAGCGTATTGTATTGGTAATAAATTCAAAATAAAGCTAATAAGCGAATTTCCGTGATGTGTGCATATCTATAATATACATCACACTAATTTGCCTCCATTATAAACCTGCCGCGTCAGTTTCAGTCGTTTGCTATGTCATTGAATGTAGCATATTTTTTTGCTCTTTGCTTAATAACGGCCAGTCAAAATTCCGCCGAGAAAATAGATTCTTTTAATATTTTATAAATCATGCGTCCAAACATACATGATCAAGCACTGTTTCGTTTATGAATGAACAATCAATTAAAAGTAAACTGTTATTTTGCCTCTTATTAAGTGGTTAAAGATTTCCGACTGTTGATCAGTTATTATTTCCTCTAATTTCAAATGTAAGTAGCTCACGTGTTATATCGATTTCAGTACTCAGCTCATGCCGATAAAATATGAACATATCATATAGTCTGCATTCTTCGCACAGTTAGTCAGTGTTGGGTTCTCTATCATTCAGATTTTTGTCATTCAAGAGTCTATTCAGCATATAGAGCTATAAAGATATGGCTTTTCGTTTTATACTTCAAACCCTTTTTAACAATGAAGCCTTTTGACTCATGTTTGAGCGTATCCTTGACAAAAAAACTTTTCAGGTGATAAGATTGGACAAACGTGTTCGTCATGTTTTAGACATGTGTATTGGAGTTTTATTCAACTGCTTACAATTATATTAGAAAATGACTTTTATTTTTTTTCCGGTTGATTCGTTGGAGTCGACATAGGGTGAATTATAAAACCGCTTGAAGCTATGATTCAACTTGGCCACCGATAAGTACACCGGCGATAAAAAGTAAGAGTTCAAAACAAATAAAATGTTGTCTACAACGCTGAGTTTTAACAATATTCAGCAAATGTAGAAATTTAAAATCAAACATAGGATGTTTTTGGAAGATCACGAGCTTTTATTATTTCAACAATATATTTTTTAATGCATACAAGGAACTTAATTTTTATTCAAATAAATTGAAACTTTTACAACTTGTATTGTTTATGCTGCTATAATAAACAAAAGGAAGGTGAATAACATGGATAATACCGGTTTACAACAACATCAAAGTGTTTCCTATTTTGTTTCAACTGGTTTCGCTCTCTACATGGGATCATTGGATAGTAAGTTGTATTATGATTTCTTAAACATGCACTGTGAAGTTGTATAATAATTCTAATACGTGTTACGAGCATATTCTTATTAGTTATATCACATTTCCGATCTCTTCTATAGCTCTTCTATTAAAGGAGAGCTTGGAAGGTAAAACTGTTTCTAAATTACAACAAGCTCAACTACATATTTGACATCTATTTTTTATAATATTTTCTACTGAAACCACTTTTCACACTACCAAGGCATGGTATCACTACAAAGCAGTATAAATGTTGAATACAATATTGGGCCTACGAGTATGCTGTTTGCTTTTCTGTCAATGGCCATAGGAAGCCTTTTCATATCTCCATTAATGATCAGACTGTTTGGGCCGAAGAATGTTCTTATTGCTGCTGAGCTTTTGATAGTGATCTACACAGCAGCGTTTTTTAAACCAAGTAAAGTTACCTGTTTAATTTGCATTTTGTTGAAGTAATTCGAACCATGAAAATTTAAAAAATGCCATTGAGCTGTTCATTAATTTAACCTCTTGCCAATCATTTAAATTTTTGCTTGCCGATTTTTTGTGCGGCTTTGGCACTCAATAAATTGGAACAGTCGTATTTTTGGCGTAATGCTCGCAAAAAAATTGGTGTGATGCCAAAAGCCTAATTATTTTGTTGTACTGGTATTTTTATATAATCTTGCGTTCGTGGGACTACAATTTCAGACCCGATTCTGGCCACTCGAACTATCTCTCTGCACTAACCCAACGTCTTGCGCGTAAAACAAATGGTCGGCGTTCATGTTTTCCATATCTGGCTTTGAATTCCCCCTGATGAACTATATTAGCTATATTTGACTATTTTAATGCCGGAAACGGCCATGGCTCTTCTAAAGTCCAAAAGGAAATTTGTATATATTTTCTTTACAGATTTACCCATCGCCATAACGGCAGCCATTTTATTTGGGTTATCGCTAAGTTGTGCATGGTCAGCTGCTTCAATAATATTTGCAGCAGCGGAGGAATCTGTATGTGGCAAAGGTCATGCAAACACCGGGAAATTCTTTGCTATAGTTTCTGCTGGTCAGGTAAATTTGGAAGATATTTGAACATGTATATTTAATATTAATAGTTGTCTCCTTTTAGCTTTTAAATTATTGAAATTTGAATATATATTCAATTAAAATCAATATATATTTAAAAGATTATGTCAGACGCTATCGCGGAAGTAGTGCTGCAAGGAATGAAGACTGAAAACAGGACTAAATTGAGTGTTGATAAACTATCCAATAGTTCACTATCTGACGTTGATATAACATTATATCTTAATCAGACAGAGGAATTTCTCACTACTTGTGCATCAAATGACTGTCCGGTATTTATATTTTTATAAGTTTGCCAAACTTAATGGTATTTTCAAAATTATGTTGAAAATCGTTTTTGTATTTCCCAATTTCTCTTTACCTATCTCTAGGAATCTTACTCTTTCGTTCGTGATTCGCCCAAGTTTAAACTTTATATACCGGAAAACAAGTATTCTGTGTATATTTTGCTGAGCGTTTTCCTAATGATGCAACTGGGAGCTGCAATTTTCCATTGGGCGACACTACCATCTTCTATTGTCAAAGATGACCCGAGTTCAAAAAACTGCCAAAGTGGTGCGTACGTCCCAATTAAAATATATTATTCAGTATTGTTGTGATTTGTTTGATCCTGCTTTTTTGCGACTATAACGTTTTCCTCCCTTTAGATGGGAAAAACAAATTTTGCTGAATATAAATATTTTTGATTGATTTTGGCATAAATTCTACTACTTAACGACTACAGAAATGAAAATAACGTAAGCTTACAAATTTGACAAAAAAAAAAAAATTCTACATTCTAATTATTTTTTGAGATTTTTTGCAATTAGAAGTTTTGAACTTTTTACTATTCAGTATCGATTTAATGTAATAAAAATTGAAACATATAGAGATAAAGAAGTTTTTTTAAGATTTTATGAACATATTGCAATTCAAAGGGATTTAAATGTAGCTAAATACAACTTTTTGAAAAACAAAATGGTTTTTATCAAATATACACTGAAATGAGATATAGTTTGAAGTAAGAAAAAGGAGGAATATATATATTCTCCAAAATCATTGGTAAAACAATGCAATGTGAAAACTGTTGGTGATGACGATAAAATTGTTCGAGATCTAAAATTCTTCCATCCATTCAAATGTACATTTTGGTCATAAAAACCACGATTGACCCAACCCAAAACAGCATTTAAAAATCTGTATTTAAAAATCAGTGTATAGCCAATTAATCGTATCTAACTTAAATCTTCTACTCATTTGAAAGATACCGGATGTGAAGCAGCTAAAAGTAGGAATTCTCGCAGCCGAAGTGAAACACTTTCAGATGAATTGATATGGACTTTAAAAGGAATGCATGGTCATTTAACGTCGCTTCAAGGCGTTTTGACAATTCCAGCACTTGCTTTCCACGGAATACTTATTTCCTTCATTTTTTCAGAGTTTAACAGAAGCTATGTCGCATGTACTCTAGGAGTTGAGCAGGTATAATGTTGTAATTATTGCAGTACCGCAATATTATTTACATATTGGAACATAAGTATGTAAGAATACACATTCCAGCATTCCAAATTTCTACGGAGAAAAAACTTACTGGGAGCTAGTTTTATCCGCTAATAGTTTTCTTACAAATTTTGTTATTTTCTAAATTGTGTTAATTAAATTATAATATATATATTTGTTGTCACAATATCATTCATTAAAAAAAACGGTTTTCGCAAAAATATACGTTAACTTTTCCATTGATTTAAATTATATATGCAGGTTGGTATGAGCACTGCGATAGTCGACACATTTTCACTGTTTACATCAGTCATCATTATTTGTGTTGGAAGAAAGCTCTCATTACCCGGGATCTACGTTGCGGCCCTTGCATTTGATGTTGCGAATTTTGTTGCAAGTTTATTATGGGTACCAACTCCTGCCGCTCTTGTCATTCCATACATTTTAGCGATGACTTACGGAGTTTCGTATGGATTAAGAAGAAATATTGCATTTTGTAAGCATTCTTTGCTAGATAATAATGAGTGGATGTTTCTCGCAATATAAAAAATCACATAAAGCCGTGTTAAACTAAAATTGTTATTGAAAATTATCATATACTCTGGATTCCCATCCATCAGGTCGTATGTGATTCTTACAGAGACCTCTGTATGTGTATAAAGGCGTTTTATCATGTTTTAGCTCGAAACTTAGAAAGAAATACAACTTGCACCTGAAAGGCGACGTAGGAATATTTGGACACTAAGTGGCCTAAGTGGCCTATTCTGCTAGCAGCTAAATCATTGTTTCTGTTGGGGAGATCATTTGGTTGAAAAAATTGCTTTTCATCGTAACAAATGAAATAATCAATTTCAAGTTAACAGTATTTAAAGATGGAAGGCGATTTCTTTTATTAAATGTCTTCTGAATTTTTTGAGATCCAGCATTTCTTCCAAAATTTGGCAGTTTATTTTAATTCACGGAAACATTCTTTTATTTCGTCAAGCGTGACTGCTTCGTCTCGTTTGTCTATTGTTTGAACTCGGTGCTCCGCTTTACCAGTCATGTCAGTCAGCCTCATTCGTCGAATTTTTAGAATTTAATAAGATCAGCTCTGTGACTTTTGTGTCCCCCATGTTTCTCTTCTGTGTTTCTTCAAATCTCCTGTTCAGTGATTAAATCATTGTGACCAACATTAGTACGATACAATGAAATGTTTGTTTTTCACTTCCAGTGGCCGCAACAACGTATTTCAAAGACTTAACGTCTTCATTTTGCGTTCAAAGCTTGATGCTGTCATGCGGGATGGCATTCACATTTGCATGGAGTTCACTTGTTTGCGTAAACATCAAACTTTACGTGATGACGGCGATGACAATCATGTTGACTATTTTAATATTCATAGCTCATATTAGATATAAAAAAGAGTTCACTGAATATGAAAGTTTGAATAGTGAATAATAGAATGTAAAAGTATTCGTCAATTTCGCTTTAAAAGACGCACATTGGATTGCTTAAACATGTTATGACTAGATCTGAATTTCCTCAAAGCAATGGACTAGCTGAAAATGATGTAAAACAATCTAAAAATGTATTCGAGAAATTCTGACGAGATCGATCTGATCCTTATCTTGCTCTATTAAATATTCGAAATGTGCCTAGAGATAAAATACTTGGTTCTTCTGCACAACGTTTGTTATCACGTCGAACAAAAGGTGACATACCTATATCAAAGAACTTGTTGAATCCTGGAATGAGAGATCCAAAAGAAGTGCACGATCAATTGCTACACAAAAGTAGCCAACAAAAGAAATATATTGACAAGTCTTCAAAACTGCTACCTAATTTGAACACAGCAAACTAAAAAAGGATATGACAAGAAAGGTATCATATGCCAGAATCATCACTTACCAAGATCTTACATTGTTGAGTCTGATGGAAAAAGATATCGTCGCAATCGAAGACATATCCTTGAAGCAAATGAATCTTACTATCCTCGAACAGAAGTAGATATCGATTATTCCAATTTGTCTGATTCGAATGCTGTGCTGATATTTCAAGTCAATCTAATATTGTTAATAAAAGTCCTGATTTTGTGCCCAGTATGACTTTTACTAGAAGTGGAAGGAGAATATGGCCAAATCCAAGATATTACTCTAGTGATTTTGTGAAGTGAATATCGCATTTTGTAGCTTTACTGATTGATGACAAATTGTTGTAAATGAAATGTGATCAATCCAATTGGCATTGCTATAGTGTGTATTAGAGTTGTATTTTCATGTGTTGATATTGTTGCTGTTTATTTGAAGAAAAGGGGATGTAAGGTGATATTTATGACGTCATCATAAATGCTATACTTGTGATTGATTGTCACCTTTGACCTTGCTTGACTACGCTCTCTCTTGTTTGTCCTGCATGCTGCTGAGTGCTGTGATCTATGATGTCTATGTTATATCCATAATATACTCAAGCATCCCAAACAGTTGTGTGTTTACCCACACACAAACAGGCACGGTCACGTATTCAGTCTGATTCACTTTCCCTTACTGGCTTTGCGCATATCCTACGGTACCCTTACCGTACAGCGAGCACCCTTTCTCTGAATGCACGCTGACATGTTTTTTTAATCTAGTTAGGATACCGGCCCGTCATTGAATTAATGTAATAGGGTAATAGGTTGGAGATATTTATATTTGTTTGTGTACAACTTATCCTACCGTTATCTATTGGCTAACATTTCCGTTAGGATTAAGTTTTCACCCCCTTGGTACCGGCGGTTCCAATAACACGTCAGCCTGCCTTCAGTAAATGGTTGCTAACTGTACAGGTATAAATGCGTAGAACAAGTAAACAAACGCAAATGAGATGGTACGGGTATAGAACATAGACTGTCAATGTTGAACGCTTCCATTTCCGGTACCTAAGGCGACATTAGCGCCGCAGTTAGCGCGTGCATATTTCACATGTTGGCAGAATGCCTTGATTTAGGAGGCGAGACGCCAGCGGAAACATCATGCCCTTTAAAATTTTAATGTGCGATTATCAAAAAACTTGGCCATGTTTATTGTCATAAAAATATCGAGAAATATCTAAAAATCCCTCCATATGTAAAACTGCACACGTTTACAACGAAAGACAAGAGAGCTATGCTCAAATATATGGACTCGTAGCGCCACCCAATGCCAATAATTTTGATGACGTCATAGCGAGAAAAAAAGTAATAGCCTTCTGGAGAAAAATTTTATCTTTACTTTACCACTGAAAATTTCAAAGCAATTGGGCCAGTATTCGATGAAAAAAGAGATTTTTCAAAAATGATGGAGACAAACAATAACAATAACAACATAATATTGAAACGATCGTTATGTCCACTAAACATCCAATAACTAGGAAATCACAAAAAATGCAAATTTCTGCTCTGTTGATCCCAATTCTCCTATAAAAGCTAATATTAAAATAGTTTTGTTTATGCCACTTTTATTTTTGCGCGTAGGATGGGTTTTGAATGATTGAGCACTAAGGTCTATTTGGCACTAATAATGCAATCTTTATTCCGTGGTGCCTCATTAGTTGACAGAACAATGAAACTGAAGATTTTTGTCTAAAATGTGCAAAAAAATTCCATAATTCACCGTTCCGTTTAATATATATATATTATTTTTTCACCCCTATAATATAGCCTTTTTTTTAACAAAAAAACGTTCTTTTTGAATATCGGGTATAAAACAAAAGTCAATTGTTTATTCGATTAAACGACCACTCGAATCCCTGAATAATTGACTAAAGCAAGGGGCTTGAAATTATTAGAGTAATATATTTCATCAATAATAGAGGGAAAACAAGATTGTAAAGAAACTCAGCTATTTATTAAATTTCGATTTCATCTCGAGAGTTTTCAACGACTGTCAACTCAGACGCACTTGATATTACAGCACACAAAATGATTATACATTCTAGGTTATGCATAGGTCATGACCACAAAAGCAGCAAGACTTGTACTATGACTCTGTTTGATTAAAAAACAATGTTCTATGTCGTCTCCTAATAAACCTTTTTTGAGACACCCCACCCTGTCTTCAAAAGAATACCAATTATATAAAAATACAAATAAAGAAATTCACTTGAGAAAATAACGTAAATTTGAAGCAAAAAAACTCAATAAATGCCAAATAAAAGAATATTTGCATTTATATCCGGCGAAGGAGTCATGATAGTTATATATATCTTTGTTATTTGCAATTATTAAGTTAGCTGCTTCACACAAGTACACTCATTACATTTGCCTCTATGTACATTTTTGCATCATAGAAGCTACAATACTAGTCATCAAAAGCTAAACTACTTCAATGGTAAGCATACGTCCACAATCATGATTCGGTGTTACCTGTTGGCAAGGGCATGAGGTTACAAAAATATGTGTGTGTTTGGATGCAACTAAAATAATACGAGGTACAGGCGTCCGAGCAAGTGCTTATCAACAGAAATATATTTCGATTATTTGAGACTATTGCGGAATACTGTTTGTCTGCAATTGAACTGAATATAAATGCAGTGAGTAACAGCGGCGAACATTTCGTTCTATTCTTTATCTGATTTGCCTCCTCTGTTAAGGCGCGTGTTTAAAGACCTTTCCTTCAAATCATTTTAAATGCCTCAGTCCTGAATGAAAAAAAAAATGATAAATGTGCCAATTAGGGATGGGCCGGGATTCGGATCCGGACTCGGATTCGAGTCGAATCCAGGCATTTTTTGGACTCGGATTCGATTTCGAGGCCACGTCGTTTTTTTTCCGAGTCTATAATCAATTCTGTTTTCACTAATTTACGCCTATGTTTGTACTTTTACCCCTATAAATCTCACTACATACCTTAAATAGTTGAAATTCAAGGTTAGATATGTAACAATATCACTTGGGTGTATTATAAACACTCCTAATAAAAACGACGACAGATATCCAGGTAATATAAGGCAAGTTAAAAACTATTAATAGCTTATAACAATGATGCGCCAGTCGCCTTCAAACTATCTATTCATTTTAGTATACATGTTGTACACAATAAAATATGTGTTAGCGCAATATTTTTGAGTTTCCGATTTGAGTAAATAAATATGAAACATGCGCAGGATCAACCCAAGGGGGAATCTCATCAATAGTTCGATACCTCTTTTGAATTGAGTTTATTACGTGCAATTCTTTCTCTAAGAAGGGAGCAATGGAAGGCATGGAGCGTTTTATAACGTTTACATGAACTACTAAATTGCAAGCATTGTATTGACGACGAGTGGCATCTCTCTACCATTTGTGCACACGACATAGTGAATTTGAGGCTAGAAATATCTGGAATTATGGGAAAGCATTGTAGTCAAAAGCTTTTTAATATTCATATTGACATGTAAGAATTTCTAAATAGCCGCCCTGAATTGACGCACGGTGGTGGGCTGGAAATCCAGTTCACAGCCAAGGCGCACATTGACCCACGTTTACGTTTGTATTATTGCCACCGAAAAAGAAGAAAAATATATTTTTGAATTGATTCAACAGCTTTCTTCGGAACCATTAGGGGAAAAATATGAGCTAAGACGTATGTTTGTGAGCGCGCGATGCTGTAGCATGGTCAAGAAAGTGTTTTTCTACTTTTACATTGTGACGTCACGGACTCGGAGGATTCGATTCGAGTCCTTGACCTTTAACTCGGATTCGTCGAATCTCTGTAATGCCGGACTCGTCCCATCCCTAGTGCCAATAGAAGGCATGCCTGTATGTACCGACTTTTTAGTTTTGCATTCTGGTTTTATCTCTGTTATAGATTATGGAAGAAGACAAACGTTCAAGTTCAATAACTTACACTTACATTCCATGAGCCTATTGAAGAATACCATTCAATACATAATGGCTTTGAAGCAAACATCGCAAAACTAGTAATAATGAACGTGTATAACGCCCCACTGGTCAAATTGACTAAAAAGCATATCGCATATGAGGAAGTAAGACACTATGCACTCAGAAGGTTTTCGACCCTGGAAAAATCCTCACTAACGGCTCGAACGGACTCGAATGCATTCAAAAACAAAACATGTTCACGAAAAAACTTCGAAAAATTGGTTACTTCAATGATATTTTTTCCAGAAAGACATCGAGAAAAATGCCAGTACAAGCGGAGCATTATGCTGTTTCCTCCCCTCTATATGGTAGCTTTCTTACTGCGATAAATGAGATCTCAAGACGAAAGCATTATCTCTTGTCCTTACTGCTAAAATGCCTGATCAATATGCCACCCTAGGGCAATAAAAACTCATGCTAGGTTCGAATATTGTCAATATTGATCATCTTTTTATTGAACATATTTTTTTTTGTTATCTTAAAATCCGGAAAAGAGCACGAGGTTACATCGAGCTGGATTAAACAATTTTTCATGTGATGGTCCAGTCTGACTACAATTTTCAACTCGGCAAATGTGGTGATTTTGTGCTGAGTTAATCACACATTGTTCTATAGCTAGAACGGTTGGGCATTCTCCTTCGAATTTATCGAAGTTAAAACTCTTTACATAAACTAGAAATGCATCAATTTAACCAAGCAGACAATTAACTCAACTCAACAGACAATTAAAGGAATCTCGCATATGTTGGTCGTTAATTACATTTTTAATGAAGATTTGGTTCGGAGCTGGAGAAAGAGTCAAAATTTTTGTCAACCAGGAGCCGGAAGCGCTTTCACGTGACTTGGAGTTTCGAGTGGGAGTCGAAACCATAGATTTGTAAATATATATATACATATTATTCTTATTTGTGAAAGAAAAGTATAACATATAGACAGACTGGCCCGGTTAAAATTATTGTCATAATGAAACGTGAAGAACACATGGATATCAACGGAATGTCTTTTAAACAAATTTAAAATAAATATACAAAAAGTATCAGCATAACAAATTTATAAGCAATTAAAATTTGATATACAGTCACGTAATGTAATCTAGCGAACATTTTTCTAAAAAATGTCATTAAATATATATGGTTTCTTCTCACTCATATCACATAAAACAGGCGTCAATATCTGTTAAATCAGCCATTTCCTTTTGCTGTCAAAATTAACCCAATTGTTCAGAACCTGAAATAGTGACACCAACATCAAGCTGTATCATGTTTAGTTAGGTTGTCTCAGAGTTAATCTTTACAAACTAACCGAAAAGGTTTTATAAAGGCACAAACGTAAATTTGTGAATCAGAAGGTATTTCCGCATTGATGGCCGCTTTGTCATAACGTATACCGTACCGTTTGCCCTGTATATAAAACCATTGTATCCTGATTAGGCTGTAGTGCTATACGTTGCATCGCACATAAATATTAAATAAAAAATTGCCAAATTAGGTATTTTTTAGACATACTTCATAGTATCGAAGTGGTCTGTGTGCAACAGCACAAGGTTCTTTTACAACCGTATGTTCAAGATACGGTTGTTCAAAACTAAAAGAAGCAACGTCGGCTGTCTTACTCATTCAAATAACAGTAGATTTTATATACAATTTACGGTTTTTGGTTATGAAACGATAATTGCTCACCGACATCGAGATACCTGCTCACGTAGGCGGGCTCATAATGTCATCATAATATTTTTGTTATTACCTTCGTGAACTGTGTATATGTTATACCGGTGTGTACCGTATGTTAGTTGTAAGATATGCTGTTGTGTTTTATTCAATGCTGTTGCTGTTGTGAGTGTCCAAACGTTATGTGGTGATTATGTTCCGGGTAATATAGCGACAGTGATTAAAATGACAGTTCACGATTATATGAATTTCACAAGGAAATTTTTCCTCTTTTCGAAGCTGAATTGAAAGAACAATATTGTATTTTTTTGCTGGGCTACACGTTTGTCACTCCAGTTGCTGACATCATTACGAGAACCGATTCATCGAATTAGAAAGTTTGTAAATGTAGGAAGAAGAATGCAGCATGGACTGATGACAATCTCATCAAGATTTGTAAATCAGCTGCGCATAAATTGCTCATATATTACTATAATTGTCAAACGCGGACATGGCCCAAATATGAAAATTAGTAATTGTTTCCTTGAAATAAATATTATCAGGCTAGATATTTCTTGTTTGGAGTGAATATATGATTTAACACTTATTTTAACAGCAGTAATATAAAACTATCGTCTTAGTGTTATAGTTTGAATCTAACCAACACGACGAACTTCAAATACTGATTTTAATTGATGGATTAGGATCATTGGATTCGTATATTGATTTTCTGTGAACTCAAAATCAGCCATGGATAAAGACTTGGATAAAAATTTAAAAACTGCTGATGATTTCATGGTTTCAAAGTTACTTGGAGAAGATAATGATTCAACGGTGAGCATATATGAATTATTTACTTCGAGTAAATAGTTGTCTCTCTTGATAAAACTGGCACCGCACTTCAATTAGAGGTCCATAACGCTGTCGAAAGTCCGCATACCTTGATAATCGCAACGGAAATCCACAGAAAATAGATCAGACTGACGCAGAAAACATTGATGTTCTCACACAATTCATTTTTAATTCACTTGTAGTGTAATTATTCTTGTACATGCCGTTTATAAAAACTATAAGGTTATATTTCGACTGTATCACATTCACATGTACTCTTCACTGCGTGGAATATGCTAAAATTTTATTTTCATATACAGGTTGTTCTTGCTAGAGATGTTCATACCGATATTGAATATGCAAGTAAGTATGACATATTTTTTATTAATGTTGGCTAACCTGGAAGCATTTAATGAGTCATTACTCGTGAAGTGATAACGTTATTTCAAGCACCATCTATTGTTTTTGCATGATTACGTTAATAGTAATATATTATAAGGCAAATAAAAAGGATATCCAATTCAACAATGCGTAGCCTCATCGTTGTGATGAAAACTCTGCTTTAACATTTTGTGTTTTGATTGTTGGAATGTTGCGAAAACTCTTATCTAAGTAACAATAACATTTTGAATTGCGTATGCATTTGTCATTGAATAAAGCTAAATATATTATTGTTTCTGAGTTACCTTTGGGTGAATCTAAGTGAGTCTTTACATATCTTAAATGGACATTATTGCCCTTATTCACAGTAAAAATTATCGAAAAAAGTCGGATAGAAAAAGGAAACAAAAAAGATGAAGTTGAGAGAGAGAAGAACATCATCAATCAACTTAATCATCCGTTCTTCGTCAAATTACATTTCATGTTTGAAGATGAGAAAAGATTATGTATCCTAAAATTCAATTTTTAAATTTAAACTATTGATGTCAATGCGTTACTTATTAGCTTTGTTTACATCTGAAACTAGACTTTGCCTATAGGGTATAGTAACAAACGAGCTACACAATACACCATGCTATAAGTGGAAAGTTCTCGATAGAAAATGATGATTGTAAATTGTTGTTTGGACACCCAATCAGAAGATTTTGGGGAGTACAGAGATGAAAAGATTCGGTCCAGTCCCTTCTGTGTCATTTTCTGGCCGTTACATGTACATTTGGAAATACGAACGAAGTAAGGTTTACTCAACCAAATATAATGTTTTAGTAATTATTCGTGAGATTATATTATACCGTGTCCGGAAAATTCGCCGTAGGAAATTTCGCCGCAGGAAATTATGCAGCATAGGAAAAATCGCAAGAGCATTGTGTTGTGAAACAAGTATTTGTGATTAAAACATTTAGGTTTATAGGGTTAGGGTATGCTCTCAAATAACGAATCTTAAAAATAAGGCGATTTTTCCTATGCGGCGAAGTTTCCCGCGTTTATAATAAATGCTTTTCGAAATTTCACTTCTCAAAATTTCTTTTTTCTTAATAATTCAAACTTCATAACCTTGAAGATTATGTGTTGAGTTATGCAAGTATGGGAGATCTTTTGTCGTATATTGAAAACAGTGGACGACTGAGTCGACCGTGCGTTCAACACTACACAGGAGAGCTTGTATTGGCTTTAGAATATCTTAAAGGTTTAAATATAATACACAGGTAAGTACTTAATGATAGAGTTTCGGGAAAAATTGAATCGACAATTTTCTTCAAAGAATCATTGCAAATGTAGGTCGGAGTTGAAATATAAAGTTTAGAATATATGAGGTATAATGAGGTTTGTCTATATACAATCCATCTAGGATTTTGTTTAAAAAGTCGTTTGTATACAATGCGGTGATGTTGATGACGGTGTAGTAATATTCAAAGATCGCACTTTAGTTTTAATGGCAGTTCAGCAATAGATAATATTAGAAAGCACGCTGTTCTGTTATATAATTTGTTGGTCGGAAAAAAACAGTAATCTGTGATATTTTAATTTTCTTTATTTGGTATCAAATTATTCTAACATTTTGCATTGTAATGTCTAATAGAAGCTAATAATATCGTGACAAATGTGGCTATCAAGGCTATCTTTGACTAACTTTTGTTTTTCACAGAGACATAAAACCGGAAAATATTCTTCTAACATCAGAAATGCATATTCAACTAACGGACTTTGGGACTGCACGACTAGCTTCAGATGAAGAAATCGAATGTGCGAATAATAGTTCAAACAGAAAAACATCATTTGTAGGAACTGCAGACTATGTACCGCCTGAACTTCTGGTGGATAAATGTTCAAATATCAAGTAAGAAAATGAAATTCATCAAGATAGGACAGTAAGAAAATGCATTTACTAAAATTTTAATGAAACACCAGTTCATAATACCACATGGAATATTAGGATAGGACAGGATATACATATTTATCACGGGGATAAAGAAAGCCAAGCCGATAAGACGACTTAATCATATGGCGAACCACTGCCTCTCGTTCGGTTACCAACCAATGTCAGATACGGAATAAGCCAGTTATTTGTTTCTCATGCATGGACTTGATGGCAAAAAAGCCTTGACCTACCAGTGGTTACCTGGACCACCCTTCGGTAGCGAGGGGTCAAGCGCATACATAATACAGGTCCTCTAAATACATAATTATCCCCACATGTTTCGAACCTGCGAACCCCATAGGATATTCAGAGGTGTGGTGGCGAGCTTATTTTTAACACCTAGCACGATGCGCCATACCACCGAGTCGAAAAGATAAAATTTCAAAATTGCATTCACTTCTCATATTATTCGAAAAGAGATTTAACCGGATGACTTAAGTGAAATAGCTTACCAACATCATTGGGGTCATATGACTTTTATTAAATGTTCTAGGTAGAATGTCACGCGGCTTGTTTTAAAATAAGTACTTATATTTAAATGTTGATGTGATTTCTTTCAAACGAAGACGATATGGAATGAGGATAAATAGTTCAAATTTATTGGTTATTTAGATCAGCATATCTATATCGATATTGAAAAAATTGAATTTTAGATAAAAATAGATATTGAAGAAATCGAGGAGCGAAACAATATTTCGTATTTGTGAAAGGAGTGTATTACGTTACCTACTTAGTTAATTTTAATATAAAAATGTTTAAATGTCAGATTTTTGTATATGGTCGAGTAAGTTGCCAATAGAAATCGTGGCACCACGCAAACCCAGAAGTAATAATTTAATAACGCAGTAAAAGTCTATGAACGTTTTGTACGAATTCGTTGTTTTTCACCCTGGACAAGCAGATGTTTTTGAAGCCTCTAACTTGTATGTCACAGATTTGTAAACAATGAGCTAGATTTTAAAAGAACACACAATGGAACTAAATTGTTCATTATCTTATTTGAAACAAGAATTATATCGATTTTTACCGAATTTTAATCGGAAAAAACCTTGTTGTTGGTATTTCTATGCAAAAATTTGAATTCATAACTGTGTTGCGATGCATTTTATAATCATGCGAATCGGGAATAAAGTTCGACAAGAACTTGCTTGCACTCTGTGTGATTCATACTTGTCATGTGATCGAAATATTTTTGAATATATTCTGTTGAACAACTGAACTTCCGATATAGAATTACGTCACAAAACCTTTTTCTCCAAAGATCAAGTATAGATTAAGATAGTCCAGAGCATTAGTTAGACTTGATTCATATAAATTAGCTGACACCGAAGAAAATGAACAATGTACAGTTGACTTTCATAGTCAAAACATGTTTAGCTCGAATTAGGTACTTCGTTCAGGCGCGAAAAAACGTTTTAGCTTTTGCATTTGCACAATGACAAAGTGTCATATTATAATGATTTTCTTTTTGTGCGTTTACAGTTCAGATCTTTGGTCACTAGGTTGCGTAATATTCCAAATGTTGACGGGAAAGCCTCCGTTCTGCGATGCGACAGACTTTGCCATCTTTCAAAAAGTTATCAAAATAAATTTTTCGTATCCAGACTTCGTTGACGAGGAAGCGAAAGATTTAATCAATGGTCTTCTGGTATGTAAATATAATTCTTAGAAATTTATCATATTCACAGAATATCCAGATGTATTCTTGTCCTAAAAATGTATATATAAATATATATATATTTTGAATTTTTAGCGATTGTGGCATAATAGTAATAATTAACAGCTTTGCAACTATAGAAATACTACTTAGTTGTTAAATTCTGTTATTGCCATTATCGATTGGTTGTCTACAGACCAAAAACTTATCCTTTTTGCTTTTGTCCTGTTGGATTCCGTATCTATATAATACAGAGGGTACTGCTCCTATCTAAGTAAGTCTGACCGTGGACGGCGAAACGTCACAATACTTCAATTATGTTAAAATAAAGCATAACTTTTGAATTTGAATCGTCATTATAATCCTTATTTTCTAGAAATTCGATTCGAATCAACGGCTGGGAAGTGATGAATGTGGAGGTTTTGAAAAACTTAAAGAGCACCCCTTTTTTCGGGGTGTAAACTGGGATGAATTACACACAAAAATACCCCCTCCCATAAGTCGACCCGTTTCTCGATTGAGCGTGAAAACATCTAGATCAAGCGATTCAGTGAGCGATGTAAGTGAACGTATAGTTTCAATTTTCGGCGCTCCGGAAGTATCCGTACCAAGATGACGCACAACCTGAACAACCCTAATCTGGTACACATACTATGTTCAGGTTGTCCGCCATCTTGTTACGAATACTTCGAGAGAACCCAATTTTCCTGTAGTCTTCTACAAAAATAACGCGAACTTCAAAAAAGGTAATTATCGACTTATAAAACTGTTCGTAAATTTTTCTAAGTTGTGCAATCTACAGATGCATGATGCCGGGGGTGTGATATATCGGCGATGACTCATTTACTATATCTTTTGATATGAGTTCAAATTGGAGTCATGACTCTCTTCATTTATATTTAATTCACATGACAAAATATTATGGGATTATTTATCTCACTCAACCACGTAATTATGTCCCTTTTTTCAGAAATCAGACGCTGTATATTCACGTATATCGCCCCGCAAGTCAGGAACAATGAAACGACAAGCAAGACCAGTGAAAAATAGTATCGCTGTAAAGTTAGTAGGTTTTTATATCGAATTGGGTTTTATATAAAGGTATTCACAGTTTGGTGATATTGGACAGTTTTTATTTATACACTCATTTCTATACTCTCACGGCCGCTATAAATTACTCTACAATTTCCGCGTCATGGGAAAACTTTCTATTTCATTCCAGCATAACACCATAATTTCAGTTATATTGTAGACAGAACTGGAATTGACAAATAACGACTAGTTGTGTTGTTGAAAACGTGCTATCCGTTTATTTTATACGAACAAAATGATATATTTACCTCAAAAGTTGTCGGAATGCTGTAGGCTAAATATGTAGGCGGGACTAACGCATTTGAACAGCTTTTGCTTTTCTTTCTTTCAGTAAGCTAACAGCGTCGGAGCCAGATGATATTGAAGGTTATGGATTACCTCCCGACCTGTCAAGCGATGACCGAGATACTTGTCTGGAAAAACAGATGGGATCAACTTGGTATATTTACTTAGAGTTATGATCATTCGATAATTCACTTGCTCTCTCTTCTAGAAGTAGAACAATTTTTAACCATATAAACCAAACACGCCTTGAAAACTTTTATGTTGTTGATTTGATGAATTTCATCGAGAGAATTTATTTTTAGTATATCTTGTATAATTATCGCTTAATTGTCCTGAACGCGTTAATGTATTTGTTATTTTTATTATTAGGCATCACTTTTCAAATGGAGCACTTATATTAAAGCGGGCTGAACTTGAAAAGAAACGAGGATTGTCAGTGAAAACTCGTCAATTCTTGCTTATGGAGGGACCGAAATTAGTCTACGTCGATCCATCAAGTATGGAAGTCAAAGGAGAGATACCATGGTGCGTTAAACTTTCGCCAGTAACTACGACACAATATAATATTGTTCGTCAGTATGTGTGCAGTTAAATAAATACATAATCATCATCCTGACTTTCGTGTCGTCCGACTAATAACTGAATATTGTATTTTGTACCATTGAGCTATCTGACTGCTCTTTGTATATTTGCATAGTAGACTACATCTTGAGAGAAATCAGGGATCGGCAACCTACGGCCAGATCAGGTCAGCGGAGTAAAATGATCCTGCCCGCGACGCTTCCCTGAATAATAGCGACAAAACGGCGGTATTGACGATGAAATAATTCTATAATCCACGCTCGAGGAGTTGATTATATTCTTTACCTAACAAAATTTATTGTGAGACATGTGTAGATTAAATTGTGTAATAACCTAACAATTTAGTGAACAAACTACTCGTTTAACGAGCCTACAACATTATTATAATTAGACATATGGCAACGCGCAGAAAAGTTGATGCTGAGTGCAGAGGGTTCAATGGCGCAGAAAATGTTCGAATAGAGCTTCTTGATATGCAATGGGGAAATAAAATCCATATTCTATTCCAGAGATGTATCACTGCTGGATTTGTATAATAAAGTATCTTCTTGAAAGAAATCTCTATCCAAATTTGACAAACCGTGCGAAAAAATTTGTGCACTGATTTGTTTGAACATTATTTTCGGCCACAAAACTGACCAGCTGATATTATAGGTTTTGTGAAATTTAAATGAAACGTTTATTTCAGGTCACGTGAACTGAAGACAGAAGTGAAGACTTTCAAATCATTTCACATTCATGTGGTAAGTGATATCTTCTCAATTGTACATTTAATCGACATGAATGCATAAACTTATTTTACAATTGGCCATTCTAAATGCTACTGTCAATTTTTTTGTATGCTGTGGAGCAGTGGTCCCCAAACTTTTTAGAGTTGGGACCCACTATTTATTACCACAGCTTATGGCGACCCATTTAACTTTTTATGACATAACACAGAACACAGCAATGGCTAACCATAGCAAAACCACCGTGTTTCCTTGAAAATAAGACCTGGCCTGAAAATAAGACCTGATTTGAATTTTAAAAATGATTCTAAATGAACCCCACCCCTAAAATAAATTTAAAATGTGTGGGAGAGGAAAGGTTTAATGACCTGAGGTAAGGTGAAGATCACACCACTATTCAAAATTGTGTGGTGTCACAATCACAATTATAATTTTTTTGTCACTTGATTTTTGTATAGGAAATACAAATAAAACAATGGATGTCGGATTTTATTTAATGTTTATTAAAAAATCTCGTGATTTTCTACAATGTAATTTTATTTTTGATAAATTAACACAAAAGACCTCTTCAAAAACAAAACATAGTGTTATTCTTAAAATATAAATAAATCTAAATCCTGTCTAAATTTCGGGGAAACACAGAAAGAAGTGCTGTACAGTGTACAAAATTGGAAACTGCTGTGCGTAAAAAAGCCACAAGGTCATTCTTCGTGTAGCAAATTTTTGTTCCTTTGAGTAGATCGTAAAAAGGAAACTTTCACAGATTAGAATTCAAATTCAATTTATTATCTTTTTTTTTTATAAGATTTACATATTCGAGTCGCCACCAATCCTAATAACCAGTATAATTAATCAAAACTTTCCACATCTTTTCACGACCCACTAAGATTCCTTTTGCGACCCACCAGTGGGTCACGACCAATAGCTTGGGAACCGCTGCTGAGGAGAATTATTATCAATTGTTACATCACAGAATATCTTCCGGATCTTACATTATATAGCCTACATGAGACATTGTCTGTTTCATTTTTTTCAGCCTGGTCGAACATACCATCTTGTCGATAAAAAAGGAAACGCAATTAAATGGTGTCGAAAAATTGACGATGTTAAACAGTTTTATTACGGATCAGCGTAAAGCGTTTAGCAAATTCATCTGCAAAGACAATGCTCAGTGACAGTGTCAATTACATTCATGGAAACACAATCCACAATGAACAGAATATAATTGTGATTCAAAAAATAACGTCAAACGCCTTCAGGGACAACCGCGATAGTTGGTGCTGGAACTTCTTTTATACACATTGGCTATTACTCGCGAAGAACACTCTCTTTTGTGCCACTGAATTCCAAGATGATGATTACGTCTTCCCCACAGAAATAAAATCACGGTGATCGTACATTTGAACTCATGTACATTTGAACCCATTTGTATATCCGAGGGTTCAATCTATATGCGGGTGCTGAAACCCATGGGTTATGGTTATTATGGGTTCAAATATCCGTAAAACAAAAAAAATTCCATAGGTACAATAGTATGCAGGTGCAATTGTCGTGGGTTCAAATGTAATGGAACCTAAAATCACATTTTGCCACTTCTAGTCTCGGCTATAGTCAATAGAGCATTCTCGACGGGTCTGTGTGTAGAAAGCACACCTTGGTTCATGAATATAAAACTCGGCGTTCAGACCCTCGGAATCCTAAGGATTTTTTTGAAGTTTCCTGTCTCGACTTCAGTTTTCAATATTTCTGAATTTCCAATGAGCGAGTTCAAATTTCAAAAGTTCAAACTGTATCACGAGTGATAACAAGTAAATCCCGGACTTGCAGCTATAATTAATTGAAGAATCCGCCACTATTTCTTCTACCATGCAAATATTTTTTCCTATCTATGTAGTGGATACACTATACCTACTATTTGTGTACTGACTCTTGATGTCGTCATGTGTTTTATAACGGTACAGATATTATAAAAAATTTAAATGTTGAACAATAAATAGAAAGATTATAATTTGTGGACAAAATCAGTCTAAGGTGATCGTGAAAATACTGACAAACAAGACTTTCACAGATCATTTATAGTTTAACCCAGGGGTGGGCAACATACGGCCCGCGGGCCGGATCCGGCCCGCGACGAGATTTTGACCGGTCCGCTGACTGTATCCAACCTCACCGCACTGTCAGTGCAAGCTGGTAAAATAAACAATTGCCTTAGTGAACAAACAATTGCGTTAGCACACTTGTTAAACAAACAATATAAGGTCAAAGAAGAAAGCATTGTAAACATTCCATAAATATAATCTATATCCACATAAACAGATTTATTATTTTGTCAACCCATAACAAACAGTCATCAATACGAAAAAAATACATAACACAAATAAAATTGCTTCGGTATTGACAAGAGGGAGCGATACGGTCATCGAGGTCAACTCCCACCCTATTTTCTGAAGTGATTAAGTTTCACACTGAAGATGACTATTAGAAAATTTGGTCTGTCAAATAATATTTTTAAAAATTCAATATAATCTCAGAAAACTATTGACGGAGGGCATTTTTTATTGAGAACTCATTTACACAATAAAAGTCCTCTATGCTTTAGATCAGTGGTTCCCAACCGTCGGTTCGTGGACCGGTGCCGGTCCGCGAGGCTTATTTGCCGGTCCGCGGAAAATTTCATTTTGTTGTTTTTCTACCGTCCCAATCGCTTAACCGAAGCCGAAAAGACGAAGTTACGTTGGTTTATTACGCAATTTCTCTTCCGCCTTCATATTGCTGTTGGATACGTGCGGGATGGCCCGGCAACGTCTTGGTGCCGAGCAGTGGCGTAGCATCCACCCCCGCGGTCGCGGGGGGGGGGGAGGCACAGCAAAAAGGGGCCCAAAGCGGTTAAAATTTAGAAATTTAAGCCGCAAAACCAAAAGCTGCATTGCAAAAGCATTAATGCACATCTTATGCTGTTGATGTTAGTTCTGCTCAAATCGTTTTGTTAGGTAACAATGCCGGAGTGGTCGATTTTCGGCGTCTTCTGGTTTGATCGCACCGGCCACCGGCACAATTACGCAGGCTGTCAGATTGATGTCGAAAGCAAAACCTCTCAGTGGCGCACGAAAACGAAGAATAAAAGGAAGAAGAGGAAGAACGTATGAAAAAAAATTAAAGTAAACAAGATAAACGAAATATTTAAACCAAAATTTAAACAATTAGAATTGGAAATACCGAACGTAACTAAGGAGGAATTAAGCCTAGCACCGGTGGTATCGGTAGAAAACCAGATGCGTGTTCAATCTCCAAAAGTGATGGCGCCGGCGCGAATGAATTTTCTTCCAAAACTTACGCGACAATTATAACAGGTAAGCTACTGATTTTTGAAGCAAATTGATATGACGAAGATGGTGAATGAGTTTGCTAACACGAAAGCACAAATTTTAGGTTACCATAGCCTTTTTATAGCGACATGTTATGCTTTTTGACGAAATAAAAAAAAACTTTGTTTTAGCTTATGTCCGAGAGTTTTTAGGGTCATTTCCACGAAATATTTTTTCGGGGGGGGGGGGGGGGGGGGGGGGCACGAGGGTCTTGCTACGCCACTGGTGCCGAGTAATCATACTTTTCGTTTCATCGCGAAAGCGATCCGTCAAATCTCACAAGATTCAGAAGCCTGGAAATCAGCATGCGTGCTTTTACCGTTCTGCATGCTTTTCTCGATTAATGGATCAAAGTTATGTTGGTTTATTACTCAATTTCTCCTCCGTCGTCATATTGGTGTTTGATAAGTGCGGTATTAGTGGCCCGGCGAGGTCTTGGCGCTGAGTAATCACTTTTTGCTTTTTCGGTTCTGATTCATCGTGAAAGCGCTCCGTCAAATCTCGCAAGATTCAGAAACCTGGAAATCAGCATGCGCGCCTTTTCCGCTCTGCATGCTTTTCTTGATTAATCCACATCCATCGAAATAAAAGGTTATGAATATTTCTTTGTTTAAACCAGAATGTATCAAGATAGACAGTATAATATTCCAGAGCATCACCATGAGCATGTAATAAAGATTGAATACCGAAGAATTTTTTGTAATCATCCGGCCCGCCGAGTACTTCATTTTCCCACATCTGGCCCGCCGACTAGAGAAGTTGCCCACCCCTGGTTTAACCCAATGTTTCTCAGCCGGAGAGGAATTTCTCACAAGGGAGGAATTTAAAAAATAATTGGGGGTGGGGGGGATTTGGCTTCGAATTTGCGTGTAACTGTTATTTCGTACTTTCATTAATTATAATGTATATATATGCATACATTTTGAACTATTTCAAATGTACAAAAGTCGGAATACAAAAGTTGCACGTATCATAAGCAAAAATTTTAGTAAAGATTGAATAACAAATTTAAATGGTTATTTTATGGGGAGAAATTAGGAGCTTAAAAATAGACAAGGAGGGAATGCGTTAAAAGAGGTTGGGAACCACGACCAATCAAGTTTCGGCGCCACCGCGACTTCTAATGATGAATGCCTGCAATCATCCTCGTCGGTTTTATTGCGATAACTAGCGGAGATTTGGAGTCAATTTTCACACAAGATAAAATACATCGACAAACAGCTCCAAAATCGTCGTGTTAAACCCGATTTAGCAGATTCGAATCCTGCGTGCATTACGTATGAAGAAGGTTTTACTGGAAGACATGCAAACTCAGTGGGAGGATCTTTTGTACAACACCCCCGCCAACGCTAAAAAAATATATTGTTACTATCCAGTTAGGGCGAAGATTCAGATTGCGCTGGCAATTCAAATCATTTCTAATCCGAACCCGAACTGGATAATCACTAATTTGTTATTTTAAAACGTGGCGGGGTGGTTTTTTCAAATCTCGCACATTTGCATTAGTGACGGGGGCTTTGTACAAAAGATCCCAGTGGCTGTTGACGCCTGTGAACTATTTATTTCATTAAATAGTTGACGACATTAACCAAAGTATATACAGGAACGTTTTCAATATTCATCAATTATTGTCATTGAAGAATTTCACACCGATTCTGAACCACAGACAACAAAAATTTCAGTAGCAAAAGTCGATAAGCGCTTCCCAAAATTTTCGACGGCCGGATGACCAGACCGCGGTTTTATTCCTCCAACATAAAGTCCATGCATCAAACAAATAACTGTCCAACTAATCCCATATCCGACATAGACTGGTTACCAGTCGAGAGACGATGGTTCGCCATACGATTAAATCCTATCCTATTTAATGTTGAACGTAGTTCAACCACAAATGGAAAAGTTTATAATTCATTTCGGCTGATCTTTCTGTGATTACAAAAATAATGTCTTTTAGTTATAATTCAACAGACAGCCTGCTCACACGATTTTGATCTCTCAGTGCGTCTCAGCAGCCTTTGTGAAGTAAAAATCTCACACGAATTAAACCACACAATTATCAACAACACCAAGCAATTTATGACCACTTGCTGCATTTGAATATACTATAGCAGAACATGAAATCATTTGTGCTGTAACTATCATGCTCCAGTGTGAATACAAGTGGAAGACATTGCTAGAATAAATTGTATTGTTAGCTGTGGGTGTTATTTTGCCACAACTGTTTCACATTTTTTAAATTTAGCTATAAAGAACCCAATTGTGTCTCTATCAGCCGGATGAACAGCTTCATCTTCTGTTGGCAACATACTAAAATACTGCAATTTTTTCAATTGATCGTCTGAAAGGCGCGATTCACTTCTTCGGCCAAATCCACCAATATGTGGTTCCTGTAACAAGGAATTTATTTAATAGTGAAAGCCCTGGTTTTATTGTTGGTGGGTTTGCCAAAACTAATTCACTATAGCGTAGGTTCTCGAATTGCTCCAGACAATCCCCAGGGCTCTGTGAGAAAAACCTAATGGCTCCGAGAGCTACTCGTTCACTTATTAAAGTACTGACTGGGTCTAATTTTGTAACTGTCCAAAGAAGCAATAACGGCCTCAATGGAATTTGACACCGGTAGCGTCGAAATGTTGCAACAAGGCAGTAATTCAAATATTATATTATCTATGGGTTCCGATAGATATTTTTCATGGATGCATTTTGGGGCTCCATAAATATTAGTCAACCTCTTCAAGGGCTCCACAACACCAAAAGTTTGAGAACCCCTGCCATATAATAAAAAAACACGGAGATAAATATTTTGCTATAACAACAAAAATTACAGTAGCAAAATGATAAATATTTTGCAATCAAAAGCATACACATTACCTGTTCTACCAACTGCATATTGCTGAATTCACTCAAAACATTTTCCACCATTTTTTCATTTTCACCAAAAGTGGTTGTACAAGTACTGTAAACGATGGTACCTCCTCCTTGTAGTAATTTTATTGCCTATAAAAGTGAATGTACCATAATAAAAATGGAATGTAACATGCATAAGCAGCAGAACATAGTAGAACACCAATCGGTCACTAATACTGAAGTTTTCCCTCAAAAATTAAGCTTTGTGGAATTCACTTGCTCCTAGCTATTTCTGCGATGCTGATGACTTGAATTGGCCCTGTTGTGTGTTAATTGATATCTATTAGCAGCCTTGCCGCAGGAATAAACCCAAGTAAGTCAAAAATTAGTCAGTTGGATTTGGAATTCTTCTATAAGTACTCTTTCCACTTTGATTGTATAAAAAAAATCTAGTGTAGTGAATATATCGAAATGTAGTTTTCAATTCAGTTATGCCTTGCATTCCACTGTTAAGCTTGTGACGAAATCAATTGCGGAGTAACAATTCTTTTTTGTGGCAGGTTCATTCTTCGGTTTGAGTATTTGTGCGCGATTGCATCTCATACTTAAACAGGCAATATTAAAACATGTTAATCAGCAAGAATTGCTATGATCCCACAATAAAATAATGTAAATGACAAGTTATGATGATTATAAATACAAAACTAAACTTGGAACAACTGAATATCCATGCTTATCTAAAAGAAATTGCCTTGAAATTTGCATTGCTTATTAAAACAGACATGAAGCAATTACAATTAATAGATACAACTTGTTGCCAACAAAAAATTCTTTAAAATATTATGTAATGTCTTGACTGCCAGTTAGTAAAAAACAGCAGTACTAACCGTTTTAAAAAGTTGCCACTGAAGTGCAGGATATGACGAAATAGAAGATTTTGACTTTATTTTGTATTCGGGAAATCTGGGGCGTTGGCCTAATGCACTGCACGGAGCATCAAGTAAAATATGAGTGAAGCTACCAGATTGGTAAGGAGGTGAAAAATCCGATCTTTTCTCATCATTAAGAGGAATCGCAGTTTCTGCAATAATTAATTGATTCAAGTTATTCATCAAATACTAATGTCATTATATCTTATTCGTTTTACATAATATCAGAATGTTAGCCTATTAACAATCTCCAATTATTCACTGGGTCTATACCTGGGTGCACAAAGGCAAATAGAACATTCCTTGATGAAAAATACTTAACCCAAAACTTGAATTTAATACACAGAACCATCCTAAATGGGCTTGAACACACTTTCTGTTCATAATCACAATTTACATGGGTTCTCCCCAATAGAATGAGTTAGACCAGTGGTTTTCAAACAGTGGGGCGTGCCCACAAACAGGGTGTAGACCATGTTTTGAAGGGGCATGAATATGATCAAAAACAAAAATATTTTTTCAGATTCGATCTTACCCATCTTATTTTGTATATTCACATTTAAAAAATTTTCATTTATTTCACTATTTATATTTCATCCACATATTTTCAACGTGTTTTTTGAATAAAACATACTTTCGCCTTACTATCTGTTATTTGTAGCTTATTGTTAGCTACCGGTAGTTATTTTTGAGGTGGGACGAGAGACTTGTCTCACTTAAAAGGCTTAAAAAGTTTGGAAACCACTGGGTTAGAATATCAGTCCAATGGCCAGAGGCAAATTGATTTTATCATTAATTGATTAAAAACACACCTGAATGTATATTTCTTGAGTCTGCAACAAAACTATGAAGCATGTCAGAGTAACCCAGACGCTTTCCATTTTCAAGAATTTTTTTCACTTTAGACTCTGATCTGTCTAATGCAATAACATGGCCTTTTCCTTTCAACAAAGAACATAAATGGGTCGATTTTCCACCTGGTGAAGCACACATGTCAAGAACAATAGCATCAGGAGGTGGATTCAAAACGTGGCCAACTACGATTGAAGGCAGATTCTGAAATGTGGGAGAGTGACAGTTATAAATCAGCAATAAAATCCTATAACAAAGCCATGACTGCAATAACCAATACATTATCAGAGTATTTTAGAAAACTGTAGTCTTTTGATATAGAACATTCAGATTGTATTAATATGCAAGAAATGTTTGAGAAAAGGCCTTGGAGCGCAGAGTTTGTTGGCAGACAAGGGTAGCGGAGATGGTCAAGCGTGATGGAATAAAAAGCGTTCCCCTATACTTAAAATAAAACAGAAATATATTTGGTTAAATATCCGGTGCCATACAGACTTTGAGCAAATCTGAAAAAAATGTATGTAGTAACCATCTGGTAACTTTCTCCACCTTTACCAAAAACTTTAAATATGTATTTAATTCATTTGACCGTTAGTTTTGATTTTATCCCAACAATGACAATGAAAACAATCGCCACTTCATGTCCGCTAAAATGAAAGGCTATTCCAGAAAGTCATTTATTTAGTTAAAAGCTTCGGACTTGAATTTTATGTAAATGTAGAAGTATCCTAGTCACAAACACATAAATTTCAAATACCAATTTTTACATTCACCACCTACTTGAGGAAAGAATGCCCCAGGCAATGAATGTTGATCTAAACATGGTGTGAGATAAATAGGCTCATTCATTCGAATTCCAATTCCTTGTATATTCAGACTGCTGCTCTGTGCAAAGTTGAATAATAAGTTTGCAAGAAATTTCATATATACAAGACCAATTTTAAAGATTGAAGCCAATCTTAACAAAGATAATGAAGCAACATCTCCAATGCTAGAACTATTTCAAAATCTAAAAGCGCAATTAAAAATCAAATTCAGTAAACTTGAATTTAAGCACTATCAGAAGAGATCTTATTCAATCCCATGAGTAAAAAAATTCAAGAAAAGCGAAACACATTTATGTCAAATCGACACCATAGATATAGTATGACAAAGATACTTTTGAATAAATCTATTTTTTACTCTCATTTTGATCATGTTAAATTTGTCAACCCTTCAAGTCCATGGTTCTGAAAACAAATAACTGATTAACTAATTCCATACCCGACATGGACTGGTAACCGGACAAGAGGCAGTGATTGGCCATTTGATTAAGCCGTCTTAGCATCTTTCCGCTCCCCCAGGATAAATATGTAAATACTATCCTATCCAATGTTAACTAACTTTGATATATAGTTAGAAATCAATGTTTCGTAGGGTACTATAGCCAGCAGCAACCCTCAAAATGACATTGGGAAATATTACAGAACAAGCCAATAACAATAACCTGGATGAAAAAAGTTGTTGTCTTCCAAATTCAGCAATACCGTTTCCAACAAAATATTTCATCCCTTCATACTTCAATGAACCTTTTAAGCATTTCCCTTCTAGATCAACATGCACAGAGACTTTGTCACCACAATTCATATCTGCAATAACAACAGATTTAAAAATTGAATGATGTTTAACAAAATATGCAATAAAAAATAAAGAGTAATTTGAGATGTAGTGTTCACTTCCAAGATTAGAGATATTTTTCTAAATCATGGGCCATCAACATCTTAATGGATTATGACAGCGGTTCCCAACCTTTCTAACCTGGCGGACCGGTAAAATTAGATTAAACATACTCGCGGACCGGCAAAATATTAAAATGGCCGAACAAAAAAGAATAACATAATATATTTGCGTAACATAATGCAATGTCAGGCACTCAATATGCTTCTAGACAAAAAAAGCACACTTAAAAACATTTCACACGGAGAAAAACTATCAAATAATATGCCGACGTGTAGCCGATTTCTTTCCTTCTTTTCAAATGTTGAAAAAATGATGAAAATGTTTTTCGCATAACGCAGTAACTGGCTGGAAAGACGGACAACAGTTTGATTGCTCGATTACTTGGCGATGGGTATTCGTTATCAAGAGATATCTAAAATTGTGATAAGTAAGACGTCGCAATATGACGGCGGAAGAGAATTGCGTAACGCAACTTTGTCTACGGTAAAGCGATTGAGACGGCATAAAAACATCAAAACAACCAAATTTCTCGCGGACCTGCAAAAAAGCTTCATGGACCGGCGGTTGGGAACCACTGGATTATGACATTGGTAGCTTGGAAATTTATAGGATTCTTTAGAGTTTAGTCAGTATCGAGGGCTTAGAAAAAGGGAAAATGCAGTCACGATGTACATATCACACATAGGATAAAATTCAATATAATATTCTGAATATGTACTGGATATATATATATAGCACAACATGTGCAGCATTCATTTCACAAGTTGATGGCATAAATATAAATTTTGCAGTTCAGTGCCCCGAAAAAGATTTAGAGCTTCTTTTCTGTAAAAAATATAAAATAAAATAATACAGCAGTGAAATCAGATAGTCGAGTATTCAAAAGCTAAAATGATTAAAAAGTGTAGTTGAAACAAAAAAGAAAAACACTTGTAGTTAATTTTACTTTGTGGTGCAGAAATGATGCCTGGTGCAAACACATGAGCTCCTCTCATAACTGCCATTCCACATGCTCTGTCAACAATTATTTCTTTTGTGCAGGGAATGATATTTTGTAGGCTTTTGTTTGGAATTATCAAAACATCTTTAATAAGTGGATGTTGTTGTATTTTCATATCTGATACATCGTGATGGGAAGGAACGTCTCTGTATTTCAAGTCCTTTATATTAAGGAAAAAACAACAGGGGTTACTCAATATATACAGTATTGACAATTGTAGACTATAGCAAAGGAACAAATTTCTTACCTTGTCTATGTAGTTTTGTAACATGCTTACAGCTTGGTCATATATCATCTTGTTGGGGTCAAACCTCACAGTAGTAAACCCTGGCGGGGGAAAATATTCACCCATTTTTCAACAAAACTATCTAAGCTGATTGGGCCTACGATGCGATGCACCATGCACGCCGATCCGTATGCAGGTCGCTACTCGCTATCTGGTACCGTAATGCAGTACTGTAATGGGGAAATTCCGAGATTACCTTCAGACGCTAGACGGAGTCGCGGAAGATTAAGTTACCGGGTCATATGTTTTTTTTATACAAGGTAATATGTTTTTTATACAGTCTTCTGGCTCGAACTGGGCTCTCCACGATAAAACACTGATATGTATAAACGGAATCCACGCAGTTCGGCATCGCATACGATCAGCGATAGGATTTTAACTGGATATGTGCGACATGCGACCCCCCCTGGCACATAACCTACTGTGCCACAGAGTCAACATCGGTTGGGAGTTTTGAAATATTCCTTTATTATTTATTATAAATATTCATTTGCAAAAAATGGAATAAATAAATAAAAAATAATTTAATGTGGTGGTTTACAACTACCGGGTGTGCATTTCGATTCCGCCATCTTTGTTTTTATAAATTTAAGTTTATTATTTCATCATATTTACAGTCGACTGTATTGCGTAATAAACGTATGCCATGGAACACTCGTGTGACTAAATCTGGCACTATATTAGGGTGACCATACGTCCACCTTTTGGAGGATTTGTCCTTCTTTTTCGTTAAAAAATTTGCGTCCTCCGAGGACGCTTAAAATGTCAATATGTCTTCATTTTTTCACGGAATTAAATTTTAAAATTCTCTCACATTATCAAAAGTTTTTGATATGTCAAGAAAATTCCAAAGTCAGTAGAGACTTGTAATTATCATTATACACATGACAAGCAATGCATTGCGATGTGATAGCATGTAGGCGGGTTTACTCTAATTAAATGCACACTTGTTAATTTGTTATGCTCACTTGTTTACTACGTAAAATCGTTTTGTTTCGCAATTAGGTTTTACGCCATTCACTTCGTCTATTGTCACTTCTATATTTAATTCTAGGAAGTTTATCAGATATATTATAATTTATATCTCATGCACAGATGAAATGTGGTTCTACCAAACAATGTGTCCTCCTTTTTGGGATTCAGAAATATGGTCACCCTACACATATAAGCGATCAAATTTGTTTATAACCGTTAACCACAGCCAGGCAACACTGTTTAACGATATTGAAGTTACAGAGAAATGGTATTTAAACATTTAACGACTGTCGCTTTTTAACTGTATTTAAGTTACGCGAAATGCTACTTAACACATCTAAAGACTAACGCTTTTTAACAGTATTGAAGTTACGGGGAAATGCTATTTAAAACATTCATCGACTGAAGCGTTATAACAGTATTTAAGCTACGGCAAAATGAAACTCAAAACATTTAACCACTGACGCTTTTTAACAGTATTGAAGTGTGTGTACCAGTATGGAAGTAACTAATTTTGTTAGCCTACTTAACATCAAGACGTGTAAAGAGACGGAAGCTTATGGGCAGGGGGTATAGGCTATTCACTTTGCTAAAACAGACAGTTCTCGAACTCGTAATAGAACTAAAATAAGGAAAATCACACACTCCACATACTACAGGAGTACCCGGCGAAATGCTACTAAAAATTCAACGACTGAAGCTTTTTAAACTGTATTAAAGTTACGATGAAATGCTATTTAAAACATTCAACGACTGAGGCTTTTTAACGATATTGAAGTTACGGAGAAATGCTATTTAAACAGTATTGAGGTTACAGTGACGTCTCGGTTACCATTTCGTATCGGATATCGGAATAGTAATAATCATTAGGTCCAGATCAGAACGAGAGTTTTTCAATTCATCAAGTCTATTTTCATTTTACAAGGAATTCGACGACACAAAACATACTTTCACTTACCTACCATTCACGCGTAAACTGGTGAAATGCTTGTTTCTTACTCTGTTCACTGACCACATGGACAAATTTGTCCAAAATGTTGGATTCAAGTACGAAACGATTGTATGTTTTATGCCGAATCGTACTCCGCCTAACTTCTAAATAAATCGCACTTTTACACCTTTTTGGTCAATGTTTTATTAAACTTTCTATTCTCTTGATACTCACCCTTTTCTTTTATTATTGCCAGACTTCTAACGATCCTAACCTAGGAACAAGATCCTACTTTGCTTTTCAAAACTGTTGACTGTGATTCCGACTTAAAACTAATACCTCACAAGCTGAAAAGTACTTTGAAGCGAAATGTACAGAATTCGCTTAGAACTTGTATTTATTATTGCAATGCGAAATTTGTAAAACATAACAAGGCAGGAACAAATATGTACAAAGGAGACAAATCAATCAGAAGTCATAATAGCTCAGATTGAGCTAAAGGAACAAAAATCGAAAATTTTTGATCAGACTACACTACTCTTGACAAGAGAAATAATTTTAGTAAGTCAAGGAATCAAGCCATGATTGAAGTGAGATAACATGGTATATTGAAAATTCTGCTCACAGTTCGACAGATTGTGGAATCAACATTTTGCCACATATCTGAAAAATACGGACCACAGATAATCAAATCGGGATTTGTTATCCCTTTCTATATGTGATTTCATATTTGAACATCTGATCGAAAAATCAATAAAAAAAAAAAGCTCTCTGTGTAGCAAATGGTTAAATAAAGCAACAGCCACATAATAATTGATGCAATTTCGTCGACAACGACAACAAAAATATTCTGTGACAAAAACAAGGAAATCAATAGAGAAGAAAATAGAGACAGAAAAGTCACGGTTATTCAACTGCATAAAGAGAACTCCAAGCGATAAAATGGTTAAAAAGAGTGACGGCCATCTATACATTTAATTAAACATAAATTTTAGTATCATATCAAGTTTGAGTTACAGGAAAGCTATTTAAACCTAACATGCCAATCCAAAAATGTTTACATAAAAACGTGTCACATGCTTAAAACCGCTTATGACAAAACAATGGTTGACAACATATAAATCTAGAAAAATACTAATCTTAAAATTTCAATTCATTTTGAAAGCATTTAATTCTCTTTATTGGGTTACAAAATATATATAACTGTCACTCGCTTACAACAAAAGGATATAGTGGAACGCTCTTTGAAAACAAAGATCAAGAAGACAGATTGTCACATCAGCATCCCAGATTACTAGAGATGTATCACCAGACGCATTATCTGAATTATCAATTAAATTATGATAAACAAGTTCATCATTGATGCATTTCATACCAATGTAATAATAAATATCCACGACTCATTATATAATTATAATAAATACATAGTGGAAAGACAAACACTTTTTGAGTGCACAAATAATAACAAAAAGAGACGTAAAATTATAATAAAACAAAAAAGAAAAAAAAAATTGAGAGGACAAGTCTGAGTCACTCGATTGACTTTGGGATTCACCATAATTATTATAAACAATATCAATAAAAATAAAACATGATAATGAAATACGTTGACAAAAAAAAGTATTGAGAATTTGAAGATAAATCCTCACTCGGTTGAGAGTGTATAGAACAATACTATTTTTGTATGAGTCACTCAAGTGAGTGAGTATGAGTATCACATTAAGTTTATCCACAATTACAAATAAGATATGATGATCTTACTGAAACACACTTTTTTTCTTGAAAATTCAACAAATTCTCTCCATTTTTCACCTTGCATTTGAGCTAATATAACCAAAACTAATTTCTACCAATGAAGACTCTCAAAATTCCTGTACAGAACAAACAAATATATCTTCTTTGGCTTTAAAATCTTTGTACCACATCATTTCATTACAATATGTCTATCGTCTTTTCGCCGACAGCCTGGTACTTGGGCTTCGTTTCGGTGGTGGGGGTGCAGGCTTAGCTTTCTGTGGTGGTCTAAATATAAATAATGCATATGTTAATTAGTGATGATAAGAGTTACGGTTATATTTTGAGAAACAGGTGAGCAATTCTCAAATACATGAATACGAAGGTCAAATGATTACACCAAATTGCCTAAATGCATATGAAAATACACTATTTTCAACAATAACCATTTTATTGGCCATGTTATATCAAAGATACCTACCCAATGAGACATTGGGCGCCATATTTACTTGGTGAGATATTTTCATCGGTATCTAACATTTTGTGCCTCAGGTAGAAATTCAAGTGAGAAGAATAGGCCGCATTTTATTCAAGAAATTAGGCTGACAGATATGACTTTGGGTAAAATACAAGATCTCGTATCACTTTAGAATTTGAAAAAAATAGCCTTGTACTGAAAATGAAATATTCATCACACCATTCGTTATGCCTGAAAGCACTTTTTCTGCACCAACAACACTGATGTAGCAAACTGGTCTATATGGCAACCTCGAGTACAGTAATTTTAGATAAAATACAAGGTTTCAAAGGAGAATCAGAAATAGGAATAAAATGGAAGCTTACGGTTGTGGTTGAGACCTATTTTTGACTTGATTTAACAACAGCTCTGGCGGAGGAGGTGGAAGATCAAATGGAGAAAGATCTCTTGTTGATGGATCATTATGATTTATATGGTAAAAAGTATCCTGAAAAAAGATGATTCATCTTTTCATAAGTGAATTTACATGCAAAAAAATGATGTATCTGTGATTCACTGAATACTGAACTATACGAACGATGCTTATTTTTAAAAAAATTCGCGAAAAAAGTTTAAACATAAATTTAAAATTTAATAGTGCATGAAAAGAGAAAAAATAATTAGAATTTTTAAAAGATCTATTCCTTTCCTGTGAAATTATGAACTATGTCAAATTTTTACAAAGCAAAATTTGACATATAACATGTTTTTGCTGAAAATAAATTGAATGAAATCGAAAATAATGATAAGAAACAAGGATATTCAATTATTCGTATACATACATACAAGAATATCTCCAACTAGCCAGGAAAGGAATATTTTGTCTTACACCTTAACATTGATTAATGTTTGAAAGTCAGATCTTACCTTCAAATCTAATATAAAATCAGGTGGTGGTGGAAAATCATCTTTCGTGTAGCTCACACTCGCAGTTTGTGTTACATCAGAAGTGTAGTAATGAGTCAAAGGAGCTCGCAACGAGGGTCGAGATGGATTCGAATTTCCTGGATAATGAGCATTTTCATCGGGTCTGAAGTTTGGGTTGCTTGGTTTTCTGTGAAGTGAATGGCTCGAATACGAAGGACTTCGTGGTTTAGGTTTGTTGTTCACATTTGACACTATTTCTTCGTTATTGCGAGGCATGAGTGGGGGAGCATTATTGTTACTGTAATTGTGGTTGTGCGGTGGGAATGCCATTTTCTTTGGAGGTGGTGGTGGTCCACCTGGCTTGGGACCTGGAGGTGGGGGTCCTCGCATTCCTCCGAAAGCATTCCCATTTTTAAACATTGGTAGGAAGGGTAATCTTACTGGGGCTTGACCGTCAACCGTTCTCAGGCCTTTAGGGAGACCTGGGTGGGAATTTATTGCCATTGGGGGTGGTAGAGGCATGTCTTCTTCAATCGATGGGGGTGGTGGAAGGTCGTCCATTGAGGGTGGAGGGGGAGGCATATCATCCATAGGTGGTGGAGGTGGTAAGTCATCATTTGAAGGTGGTGGCGGAGGCGGCATATCGTTATTCATCATCGATGGGGGAGGGCGAGAGTATCCCGAATGAGGCTTCGCACCAGGCATAGGTGGGCGGAAACCACCCAAAGGCATTCGTGGTGGAAATTTCATCTGAGGTTGTGGAGGACCCATGGGTTTCATTGGGGGTGGGGGAGGGCCCTTTTTGAATGGTGGTGGGGGTGGTGCACCCTTGTGCATAACACTTGAAGGCTGTTGACTGCTATCTCTAGGAGAAGGTGGAGCATTGTATTCCATTCCTCTATTCATCATTGGGGGTGGTGGGGCTACAGAATGAGCAGAAGGTCCGGCTGGAGGTGGTGGAACAAAAGTTGGGGTTCCGACTTCTGCAATAAATATATGGAAAATGTTTTAAAAAGGTTTACTTTTCCATTAATATCCCAAAGAAATATTGCAGAGAATTAAAGGAAACAGCATCGACCTAGTTTGAAATAGCATTACTGATCATTAATGTCAAAATGACTTATTCATACATCGCTAATAAATTCCATACCATTTTCTCTATATATACACAGGTAATATCAAAATTAAAATTAATAATGCACAAAATTCCAATATACACTGAACGATCTAAAATTCTGTCAAAAAATACTGAATGTAAAAATGCATCATAAAATGTTTCAAGTCGACTTTTTACAAAATTGTAAATACATGTTTCCATTACATAACAAATTCAACATTCCAACACTGAATAAAAAAATCACAAAAGTTTTTGGCCATACAATTCTAAACAAATCAAACAAATGGAAATAATTATTGCGTGTATGGTTTAATATCAAGTTTAATCTAGTAAACAAACATTTATATAATACGATATGCAACATTACTTACCGACACTTCCTCTTGATCCAGTTGATGATGTGCTAGTTCTGTGATTCCGATTTTGGATTACGCTGCTAACGTTTGATGTAGCACTGGTACGATTCGACATATTCGGAGTAGTTTCCACTAGTTCTTCTAATTCTGGGGCAGCTCCAAGATCCCACCAATTGCTGTTTGTTTTAGCTTGCTGGGGCTTCCACACTGATTTTGCGCGTTGGGGAGCAGGACCCTGGAACAAAAGTAAAAAGTGAGTGAAGGAAATCGGTCTAGATAAGAAGGCATTATCTATGGTAAAGAAAATGGATTGCATTATTGTCGATTTGATTCGTTAAAGTGCTTTCTTAGTAAAAATATACCATATAACAACATTACATTGCATGTGAATATAAAATTTTAATAATGTGTCTCTATTCCAATTAAATTATCAATAATGTTATGCAGTCGAAATAGAATATATTGAAAAGAAACAGCTCATTTGAATTTAATTTATCTTCTGCAATGACACCCTTTTAGGAAACTCGCCAACTGTCAGAAAAAAATTTGACACCTATTTTGTGTTAGGAAGATTTTGACTGTGATTTCGAATCCTGCTTTAAAAAAAAATTCAACTCTGACTCCAGTTTCACACTCAGTGAAAGGCTTTATTAAAGGAGTGTTAAGAACGCTTAGTAAACTTGAGATCATTGAGTTTCGGAAGAAAATTGGAACTTTTATCATCATCTTTGAAAGTATGAAATGACTTTGACTGCCGAGAAATCAAAAATTTGACTGCAACTTGTCAGGTCCAGTCTCCCCCCAGCCCACCGCCATGATCAAAACATCAGACCATCAGATGAACAGTTCTGAATAAAATGTATTATCAAGCCTTAAACTATAGATTAAAAAATCCTACCTCATTGGCTCCATCAGAGCTTTCTTGTTGATTAGCTCTCTGCCATGCACCTTCAAATACATTAGTGAGTGATGCTCGAGGCATAGAATTTTGACGAGATCCTGCTTCGCCTGAATCTGTTGATACATTTGAAGTTGTATCTGGAAAATTTCAAATTTTGTTAGTATTGTAGGATAATGGAGCAAAAATAATATGCTTTATCTAAAGTCACCTCAAAATGTAATTACTAGTATTACACGAAGAATTATTTTATATTTATATAGTTCAAGCTGAAAAAAAATATGGAGGGTAATAAAATATTAGGTTTTAAACTACATTTGATTTCCATTGTCTGCACCCTACCTGGATTCGTATGTGGCCTTTTCCACATGAAGGCTTAAGCGGTATAGTATTTAAAGAAAATAACATAGTCTCTTTCCACAAAATAGCAAGTATATTTGTGAGCTTTGGTTAGATCAAAGCGTAACTTCTTCAGAAAAATCAAGAGATAACAAGATCCAACATTGAATTCGATTTTTGTGGAAAGAGATCATTATTGAGTATGTGGCTCCAATTATTTCTTGGTAAATACTTCCTAGACCAATTATAGAATATGTGCATGGCCATGACATCATTTTGAACAAATATGCATGGCCCAAGGAATTAATTCATAAGAGAAGAAAATACATACCAGGTTGTTGAGCGTGGAAAGTCATGGCTGATACTGGTGTTGCTTTCATTTCCTCATTTGTTTTATCATAATTGTCTTTGAGTTGTTTGCCATACTGTGAAATAGAAGTAATATATAAGCGATGTTTATGTTAGCATATTAGTGAGGACTACACAAATAATTAAACAATCAATTATTTTTTTCAAATCTTCTGCCAATTGGCACTTAATAGCACACACAATGCACACAATAATTTAATATAAATTATGTAACTCCAAGTACCCCCACCCACGGTTGCCACCAACTTCGCTTAGAAATCAGTCCCTTTATTTCTGAGTTTGCTTTCTTGCAAAAAAAGTAGTTTCATACAGCAAAATCATAGAATTAAAAGATTTGATAAAATCAATATTTAACTGCTTCAACTATTGGTGTTTTAAATAAGTAATTTCAATTGCCTGAATTCTAAATATCAACATTAATTAACTTGAAATTTTCCAGGCATCCATACAGAGATATATTCACTCTTTATTACCTTTGCACATCGAATTCCGACAATCCATCTCATCAGAGAACGAACATCATCACAACAAAAATATTTGATGTGTTTTGATTTTGTCTGAATAGCAGGATGCTAAAAGAAACAAAATATATATTACAATCAATCTGGTACATTTCACTCTGTTTTCAAGATTATGTAGTTCTAACAAAAAAAATCAGGATATGTTATAAATTTCAGGTACCATATTTTACAGAACATGCGGCACACTTTAAATCCTTTCTTCTCGAAATTCTATTGTGACCATTACCAGCCAGTGCACCTAATGTATGGATCAGATGGTGATTTATTGCATACACTCAAAATCAATGCCTGTATTGCTCTAAATGCGCCTCATGGCCCGATGCTTTTTATGTATGAATAAAAACCCAATCTCCGCAATTAGCAATTTATTGACAGTGTGCCTTATAACACAGTGCACCTGAACAGCCGTAAAATACGGTGAATGAGAAAATTGAATAATACAATAATAGGTTTCAAAGTGAAACAGGAATTTCGATCATCTGAATTCATAACAAAACCCAACTGAATATATTTTAAATTTCTTCAAATTTTAAACATCGGCATGTGATAATAGGATGACTTCTATCTTGTCAAGAAATGTACAATCATGCCATATCAAAATTTTTCGTACCCCGAAATATTTTGCCACAATTTATCGCAAATAAATAATTTTTTAATAAAAAATCATGTTTAAAAATGCAAATAGCTGATTTTGAGAAAAAAATAAATTTCATAATCTAATTTTATTAAATTCGAAAGCAGGTTTTAACAGAATTTTTTGTTCATCTCCACTTAGGAATAGCACAAAAACAAGATAAGTATCAAAATAATGCATAACAATGGTCTCTTCATTTTTTAATTGTAAGAAGCGGTTTGCACTTTTTTTGGAATCGGAATTTTAACAACATCAACTTACTTTCAATGCAAAACCATAATCAGTGGGTGACTTGTGCTTCTTCTTCCATCCTCTACCAAGATAGACACACATATGTTCGAACATAACCAAACATTGAAGATCAGACACCTAAAAAGTTAATTTCAAAATGAAAAGAAACATTTCAGATTGTGAAGATTTAAGTAAATTCAAAACTTTCAATTCAATCTGATTTGTATGTACAATAATCGTTGGTGACAATAAACAACACACTCGAAATTGCTGTTTTGTTTATGACATAACCATAGCAGAGTATGGTATATCTTGGTTTGGTTATAGTCTTATGAAACTCCAGGGTATTTGATGTTTAGGATAGGATTTACACATTTATCCCAGGGGAGAATAAAGTCAACAGTGACCTCTCGTCCCGCTACCAGTCCATGTCGGTTATGGGATTAGTTTGCCAGTTATTGGTTTCAGATGCATGGTGGAAGAAGCTATGAACTAACCAGCGGTTACGTGAATCAGTCCAGCAATCCTTTCGCTTATAATTATCCCACACGAGAGTCGAACCTGTCAAGCATATTCCTAACGCTTTGCATGATGCACCAAACCGCCAAGCACAGTATGATTTTGAAATTAAAAATACAAAATTTGTTGATATTAGATTAGTCATTCTGTTTATGTTTCAAAAAAATTGTTTTAAGGTCTTCATCCCTTTCTCAATAAATAATCTGCTTGTAGAAGCCTTGAACAAGTCCGCCTTTCTACAATGTTCGAATACTATTAATATATCGCTGAATATAAAATATCTATAATTTCATTATATCATATATATACTGTACAGCAAAATTGCAGTTTGGCCAAAACTTAGTGAAATGAGTTACGGTATATCAGTCATTGCATGAATCAGTTCACATCAGGAAATAAAATTTGGTTTTATAATTACAAGTTTAATATTGCGTGATAATTAGTCATCCATTACAAAGAATTGATCACTCTCTACTCGCTTCAACTTTTTTGGTATTACAGTTTATCAAAATATGATATAAACCATTCAATACATTAAATAATTTCTATAAAATTTCGCTCGGATTTATATTTACTGCCTTCAAACTATTTTGTTTTTACATGTTTGATATGTCACTGCAAAAATTTTGAATAGTTAAAAATAATATGCTCCATTGTTCCATAAACATGAGTTGCACAAATGAACTTTTTCAAGAATTCCACATGCTTGTAGTCAGTGTTTCCTCTAAGGTGTGCGCGGGCACACAGCTTTCAGAGGCTGCGCACACGCATAGCTTTACTGCGCACAGACGCATTTCGGTGTAATGTAACAATGTGCTAGGTTGGCAAGTTGGGAAAGTTTGTTGTTGGCCCACTTATTACCCGGTTAGAACGCCAAAATTTCTTCATTGGTTTTTGCACAAATATTAGTCATTTCCAAAAAAGTGCGCACACACTGAAATTTCTGCGCACACATACTACAAAAAATTAGAGGGAACATTGCTTGTAGCTCTTTTCTTGATCGCCATTAAACTGCTTCAAGTCTCCATCAATTGGTATTTACCAACACACAACTCTTAGACTATAATTTATTCCTGTGGCTTTTGTCATTACATTGATCAAAGGTAACTTTGCTAGGAGATCAATCCTCTTAATTTTCTAGTGAGTGCCTGTAATCTTGCTTTGACCAAATTTCCTTGTAAAAACTAGAAAATAAAATTATGTAAACAAACCTTTTTGCCTTTCTTTGGCTCTCCGCTCTTACTGCAATAGAGACCGGAAGTACGTAATACACAGTATTTTCTTGACCAAGATTTTGAGTCGCCCTTCACATATAAGATACCTTGAACTTCGGGTACTCCTGTGCCAGAACGACCAGAAAAAAATTCCTGAAGAGAAAAAATAGGATTTATTTATCAAATAAAGTGTATTTATTAATACAAATAGCTAGAAACCATATTCAATTTAAGATATAAAAAAACTGCATGTTGAATACAGGGATTTAGACAAATCTCCGATACCTATTTGAAATCATCGAAAAAATTTACTAAAAACTAACTCATCTTTTTTCGAAGTTACTAATAATGACCTATTTTGGCAACATTATGATGATTTAGACTTTTTATATTTTTTCATATAATCAAAATTTTACTATAGGAATGTTCCAATTCTACACATTTTCCAATGATTTAAACCATTAAGAATTATGTTAGCAGTCATAAAGGTATCAAATATTTGAAACAATTATATTGACAATTCATAAATTTAAATAAGTTCATTTAATATGATAATGTTATTAATAATTAACCATAGTCGTACCTCGACGAGAGTCTGTTTTTGACGTTCAGCCATTTGACTTTCCGAATCAGAAGTCGAGAGTAAATAGTGCTGAAAATAGACATTGTAAATATTTTATATCTGATCAATGCAAATACGAAATTGTCTAAAACTGGAAAATTTTGTCAAAATTATATTTTTTATGAAATTGAATAATAATATAAATTTGAAATGCAAAGATAAATTAAGCAATGCTATTTACTTCAATTAGACTTAAAAACTGCCCAATAACATTTAACCTAAGTCTGCAAACTTGTCCAGACTTTGAATGAAAGCAGAATTTCCAGGCAACCAAGCACTGTTCTGATAAGGTAGCATTTATAAAAACATGAGGTTTCAAGTGATTACTTGAAGTCATTTTTTATATAAGCAATTCAATACAGGGTAAAATACTATTTTTCATTCCGTAACTAATTATGATATATGATTCTGGCAGTCAATATAATAATAGCCTATTCATAACAATACAATGCAGCTGTATAAATCAATGTGCCCTATTTCATTCATTCATTCAAGTTGAAAAATTACATCATGTTTTGAATTGGAATTATCCGAATAACAATCCTTTAATAAACTGTATGACAGGATTACAATAAAAATTTATTGTTCAATAAAACCAAATGAAAATTGTCTTCTAGTAACTGCTGCTTTGTGTTAAAGCCAATATGCGGTCACATAATTTTGATAAATTTGGCAGACAAATACCAACCCAAAACAATAGTGACATAAAATTAATCTTAAGTTTTTAAAATTTACGAAGACAAAAAAGGATAAAAAAACAACACGGTAATGTCCCACCCACTAAGTTATACCACACATCTACCGGTAGCCTACTCAATTTTAACCAATTTTGCTTTCTAAACAAAAAAGACTCAAATGAGGCCAGATGTGGAATTAACAAGCACATATAAGGTTGTGAAACCACATTCACACAACGGTGAGACTCACATTAATGAAACGTGTTAATTAAACACTTTAATTAAAATGCAAACGGAAGAGAAATTCTAATAAGGTGATCATTATCAAGTGTGCTGTCTAGAAGTAAAATAGCATAAAATACTATAAATAACACCTGTAAGGAAAACAAGGGAGATATGCTCAAATGTATGGACACAAATGTCAAATGACTATTATGGACACTATTGTACCGATTGTCATTTGAAATTAAAAAAAAATAACTGTATATCATATGAGGGTGTGCTCAGTAAATTATTTGAAATGTAAAACTACCCAATTTTGGGTGAAATATCAAGCCCTATAAAATGGTCTATAAGGTATGGCAAAAAGATTTTTCACAACAAAAACAACCCAAAGTAAAACAAATTAGCAAAATGACCCATGAATACCCAAAAAGAGCAAATTTTAAAATTAAAATTTTGAAATTTCATTTGAAAATACAATAAAAAAAATTTCGCTCATTTAGCTGGTATCTTATTATTGTTAGAATGAATATAGTACAATAAAGTATTCCAATAAAAATTTACCAAGTTTCAAAATAAAAAATACAAGTTTTCCTCATTTCTCAAAAGAGCTTCATTAAGTTTTCCCCTTTTGAGCATATTAAATCCCTCAAGGCGAGGAACGGACAGCAAGTCACTGACTACAGGCTAACTTCCACAATATACATCTATTTACCTGTGGGTTTCTGAAGAGAGCATACTTGTCTTTCCTTTCCAAAAATCTGACCTGATTGGTCGTATCTCTAGTCCAAAATGAGAGCATTTCTGTCACAGACTCGTGTTCTTCAAAAATTCGTTCTGAAAAAAAATAAAATAAAAAAATATTCGTCATCATTTAGCTTTCTGACAATATGGCGAAAAAAGACGAAAGACCGAGATGATTGGCCGAGTGGATAAATCGTGGGGTTTAGATATGTTAGCATCACCGAGTTGAATATTGCAATTTTAAACCCCATACCCACCACTTCAACTGAAGTGTAATAAAATAGATATGCAATGTCTATCAGGAAAGAGTCGGCGCCTGAAAAAATAGTAGGTTCTCACATGCTGTATATACAGAGCTTATCCAGAGTGACAGCCAGGAAAATATTAAATAAAAAATTGGTTTGGATTTTAATTTCTGCTTACGTATATAAAATTAATAATATTTCAGTCTGTTCCCAACATTCCTAATTGATTTACTACATAATGCCAATTTTTCATCATCGGATATAAGTAATAATTTTTCTTCCTAATTAATTTATTTTATTGATCACATAATTCAATGAAAGATTTTACCAATCGCTTTTCCGAGACTACTATTTAATATATAATACACAGAATGATTTTATGGTAGTGTTATCTTAAATCAGCAAATAAAATTATCTGATAAGCATTATCAAAATAACTGCAACAGAAAGATAAAATTGTTATCATGAAACATAATAATATTGTTAATGAGCGAAAGAATTGTATACAAATCAAATGTGAGCAACCGATTACCCACAAGACTCACCCATAAAAAGTGAAGGTAATTCTTCAATTAAAGCCCAATTAATACTTGGTTCATAATGATTTTTCTCGAGCAATTGTCGAACCACAGATCTTGTTGTCATTCTTTCATCGACAACCAATGTCTTGGAACTGTCATCTTTGTTGAATACTTTCACGACAAGCTGGAAATTTCAAATTCAAAAACAGGATGTAAGTCTATTTTGAATCAATGAATTGGTAAAAATAGCTTGACAGGTGGAAACCAAAATTGCCTTTTAGTCATCACTAGGAAGGCCAATGTTCAATAATATACTATTCTGAATACAATTTGAAATTCTGACAAAGCAACTGGTGCCTCATATCACTGGATGAGAACAGAACAGGCCAAGTCACAATTTTGAGTTTAGAGAAAAACGCAAAAAACAATTTTAAATTTCGTTATTTTTGAATTTCTAGATATTCACACTTGGTAAAGACAAGAGCTCTAGTCATTTTAATGTTGATGAGAATATCTTTGTAATCAATATCTTTTGGCCTTCCTTTCTGGTTATTTACCCCTATAAAGAGGACTTTGGCCCATTCTGTTTTCAACAACTTCTGACATTTTTTGTATGGGATGCAAGGCAAAACAAGGCGACTTAGGCCTATGTTGAACTGAACAAATTTTTAAGGATGTAAGTTTCGGACATTTTATTTCTGATGTACATGTCCACCATATTGGAACTTAGGCCCATTCTGTTCTCAAGTCAACAAAATATTATAGTCCTAAGTCCAGCTAAAATTTTTTGTTATTGAGAAATTCAGGATTTCAAGACCACCATCTTGTAGAGCATGGCACAAAACACCAAAATATTGGAAAAAGTGAGATTTCAAAAAATGTGAGAAGGCCCCTTCTGTGGTCATCGGGCGATATGTTTGCCAGAGGTTATTAGGCCATGTTATTGGATTTCCGCTCCTCAGGATAAATTTGAAATTCCTATCTTTCTTTTGAATTGTATCCTACTTTAATGCTTATGATACAATTTCGTATGAAAATATTCCAAATTAATTCCAACATCAAACCTTTACTATTTCAGATAGAACTAATTTCAAATGTAGTTCTATACTCCATTCATTTTGGTCATATCCATCACAATTAGGTATATTACCGAATATATTATTAATATTTTTTTTGGAGATTAAATGATACAACATCAGGTATAACGTAATACCAGTGGTTCAACCTGTAACTGGAGCGAAACCCAACGAAACATACACTCATACACACATTACCTTTTGTATTCTGGCTTCTTTGAGTTTTTCCAAGGCAATTCTCATCTTTTCTGCTTTAATTCTTTCTTCTCTTTCTTCCTACAATGATCAAGATTGAATTTATGAATGGGAGGGATAATTTATATTAATATATTATGATGTTTCTTTTACTATGCAAATGCTGATAATATAAATCCCATACAGTGAATTATAACAGTTTGGGCTTCAAAAAATTTGATAGGCAACTTCCTGGAACAGACGGTTTGAATCTATGAACTCATTTCCATCAGGACAGCCTATGTGTAAATATGGCAAAGGTAATGCATTAAAACACAGCTAGTTTAAATTGCAGCTATGAATCAATGTACTGGTATAAACATAAGGCTTATTATAATTTCAATCCAGTAACATGATACTTGTGTACTGATCATACAGGAAACTAGGTTGTGTAACTTTGTTTATTTAGAAGCAGCATCACTGCATAAACTCAATTTTGTAAGTATGGCTGTCAATTGCGTGCATGATTAACATAAGATAATCCTTCCTACAGGTTGTGAAAATTTGACATTATTAAATGACTATACGATATGTCAGTTACAAATCAAGTGGTATTCAAAATCCCCACTCAAATAGATTTGGATAGCATTCCCTTTTTTTCCAAATGGACTAACCATGAAATCTGAATTTGAGTATGTACAATTTATTAAGTTATGTAATTCAGGACTGTTTCCCAAACTGTGAAAAATTGTTAAAATTTGCTATAATCATGTATAATTTTGCGACTGACTGTTAAAAGAAGTTCGTGACCCTGTCGTTTGGAACTCTTGGTACCAACCTCTCTAATCTCTATAATACTCCAAAAATCAAGTATTTTGAGTAAAATAATAATAAAACAAACAAAGCCATTCAAAAATAGACAATCCATGCTTTTTCATGCAAACCAAACGAAGCCAATTCAAATTTCAACTGATAAAAGTAATATATGGGATAATGGGAATGATAATGACCTGAATTGGCAACCAATCAATCCTACAAATTGATGAAATTTATATCTTACGGGTGAAAGGTTATCGATATCCGCTTGTCGATTCACCATGTCTAGCTGACGCTTGATATCATCGGGAGCAAAAGAATATCTCTGCGATGCTTTTTCATTTGTGTAATCAGCAGAATGTCGAGATAAATCAGACTCCGCACTGCTGTTTGATTTTGTTGACATAACACTGTTTGTGCTGGCATTCGATTGCATGGAAGTCCGACTCATTGAATGTTTTCGAGCCAATACAGTATGGTTCTGTGGTGGCGCTATCCTGATTTCGGCAGAATTTTGTCTGATTAGCGACGTCCGATTTGGCACAAAATTATGGTGATTCATTGGCGGTGGGGCTGGCGGACCCATAGGGGATCTTTTTACTCCTGGAATTGGGGCTGGTGGTCCAGTTGGTGATCTAAGCCCTTGACTTCCTGGGAAAGGAGCTTGTGCTCCAGTTGGCGATCCTTGATTTTCATCGAAACTATTTTTGTGTTGTAATTGCCTTTCTAAAATATTTGATAAGTTTGCTGGTGCCTTAACACTGGCTTGTCTTTTGATGGGTGTCGTAGGTTTAGCCGGTGTCGGTGGACCAGTAAAAGAGCGCTGGCGCGACAGATCAATGGATCGCTAAAAAAAGTTATGTAAATGAAAGATGAGAAAAACAAAACAACATGCAATTCATGCTTTAATAAATATGAAACGTGCGAGGCGATATTTGAAAAATTTAGAATAATTTTTTTTTTTTTTGTAATAGTATAGTTTCATTACCCAGCATTATCAAGGTATATTGACCTATGAAATTTGGGTACAGTAGGTTACAAACCATGGATTGGCCGAAAAATGACTATATGAAATAAATTGCCAAACAGCCAGTATGAAATTTAGGACATTGATGTAAATGCGTAAAACGTGATATTCACTTCAAAAAATAGTATTGTTAGCTCAGCACAACAATCCTTTCATCAATCCAAAACACATTGAAATTCTAATATAAACTTACAGGTTTATCTGGCACTTTTGGCTTCAAGGCTGTAGGTGGGGGCACTGGTGGCTTTGAATTATTTATGCTGTTTTGATGGGGATAGCCATTGACAGTCTGATGGTTCACCAAGGTATTATCCTGCTGTTGTCTTGGTGACAAAGGGCCATTGGCAATGTGAGTGGGTGAACGATCAGTTTGCTTTGGAGGGGAATAGGACTTTTGAACCTGGTTTTGTGCTGCACTTTCAAAATGCCTTGCTGCATTGAGAACATTGTTTGGGGTAACAGGTGAATCCGGTGCATCAAACTTTGAAATGTCTTCTTGAAAAGCAGGGTTACTTTGACGAGTGACGCTTGTGTTGGAGGAAGAGGTTTTGCTTTCCGAAGATACTGAAGACGCGTTTTCTGGTGCCACATGTGGCATGGCAGTTTGTGGTTTAGGCGGAACGCATGGTGGGATCGCAGGCTTGGAATCATGCGACACAGATTTTTCAGTTTCATCGAATACATGTGGCACATGGTTATTAAATACATCATCATGGTGGTCTTGTGGAGGTAAATGGCCATTAGTGATTCCAGGGGATAATTTGGAGTCTTTCTTATCATTTGATTTTCTTTTTAAGTTGTACTCATGCTCGAAACTGAGGTTTGATAAATCGCTTACTAAGTCATCTAGTTCTTGCATGACCTGGTTTAATGCAAAGAAATAAACAAAAAAGATGATAAAAAAAAACAAAATAATCAGGAATAACATAAATAAGAAAGTAACCATATTTCAGGCATAAAATAAAGTGAACGTAACAATGAAGAATAGAATATTTATCATGCCTCATCATCCATTAAAATATGATATTTAAAAAATAAAAAAGATGAAAAAGATTTAGAAATGAAAATATAGCATTAAATGATTCTGAAACATAACTTCATAATATATGCTAAAAGAAAGATTGCGGGCCAAAAAAGGCACATAACAGAAAATACTTATGTCTGATGGCTGTGTTATCATAATAACTCTCTTCTATCTTAGTTAGGAACCTCATTTTTTTTTTTAATAGCACGAACTTAATATCAAATTTGTTGATATCTATTCACTAGGTACACGTAGATCAACTGTATAACAGGTGAAACAAAGATTTGATGTACAAGTTACTACAAGCATAGAGCCAAATGTATACCGGTGACAAGGCTGCAAGTTCTTCAGCTGAAAGTTGTCTTGATTTGTCTTGTTTTCTTTTTTCTTCTTCCATATCTTTCTCCAAACTTTGCAATGATAATTCGTCCTCATCATCACCGAAAGTAACGCTCGGACCGCCAGTTGTTGCACGTTTCAATGTACTGAACTGTAAATAAAAAAATTATTGCTTTTAGTTCCAACAAAAATTGTTCAACTCACACTAAGATGAAAAATAAAATCCCTTCCAAACCACTTAGCCACAACAGCTTTTATTAGGATAACCTTGTTTGGGGATAGTCGAGAAAAATTACAGAATGACCATAACACTACATTAGTAGTCTCTAAATATCTATTTTGTTCCAGCGAGAAATATAATTCAAATATTAAATTGTATATTGTAAAAGGTTCATGGCACCAAAAAGTACAGTTTATGAATTTATTTTGTTGAAATCATACTATTAAAAAAATTCTATCAATGTGCCACCATTTTTTCATAAAAAATTTTATTCGCTTGTTATTACAAGGCAATCATTAGCAAGAAAACAGTTTTCCGAACAACGAAACTATTGAATTTGGTCATTGACGTGAAGCCAACCAGTATCTCTATGATTGATTTGCAATTGAAGAATTGTGGAGACATGGAAAGTCGTCTGCGGTTGAGTCCAATAATGCAATTAAAACCCACCAATACAGATCAATATCATCAACTTGGGTGACATTTCAATAATATTTGGTAATGCAACTAATGTCTAGCTATGAGATTAAGAATATTACAATTTTATTTGCATTTGTTTTAAAACTGGATGAAAATAATTCTATTTTAAAACTTGCTGAATTGATAAAAAACTACCATGATGTTGACAACCATAAAATTCGGATGAATTTATTTTAGCAGTTTTCCATTCTTCATTGTATTGAACGGACAAAGAACAAATTCGAAGAAAATCAAGATTTTACTTTATAAATAAAATTTTAATAAGCATGGCATAACATTTTTATCTATCTTATTTTATTAAAAACTAATTTGTTGATATACGATAGGTAACTTGGTCTTCGAACACAAAAAATCAGAATTTACTGTTATTAATCAACCAAACGAACATTATTGGACATCTAATTTGAAATGTAAATTAAAAAGCATAGAATAATCCTCAATGAATATACAAACAGAATAACACAAGACGTGGTGCAATGCATATATACAAAAGATTGTAATCCACAAAATCTTGATTAATAATTCCCATAAACTTGCGCATAAACCATACAGAAATCTATAAAAGTTGACAGTTCACTTCCAGTTTGTCACGTTATTACTTTGGACTAAGAACATTCAATCAATAACTTGATTCATAATGACATAATCAAACCATTTTAATGAAATCAGAAGATAAAAATAGATCCAGCATTATTACACCAGTACGAAGAGTAATGACAGTCTTGCATATTTTATTAAAATATTGCGTCAAAATAAAATTATATGACATCATAAATTATAGGCGCCTTGCCGAAACTGAAAATCATCGTTTCTTTGTCTTCTCTAGTACTGAGTACCCCTGCTTTAAAAATTTCAGAATCTGGCCTAGTAAAGGCGTTCAGTCCAATAAAAAAACATTGTATCATAATTATTATGCGGTTAGTACCTGTGGTGACCCATCCATTCCATATTGTGCTGATAGATTGGTATTTCGAGGAAGACTATTTCCATTGAATCCAATCCCACTATCTTGGCTTGCACTTTTCTTAGAAGGCATTTGTCCTATGTGAATGAATGAAGGTTCAATTAATAATACATATAACGAACTGGTAAAATCAAAAAATTAAAAACCTACCGGTAGTTTATGACAAAATGTGAATTAGCAAGATGACTATTTGATAGGAATTACTTTCAGCAGTAAACCAGTAAAATTAACCAAAAGTAGCTTAATTAAGTCCAACTGTTCAGAAACTTTTTCCATTCTGCTGTCATTGTGTAATAGGAGCCACCTTTGGCCCGGGTTTCAAAGCTGTACCTGTTTTAGGTTTGATTTTAGATAGTGTCTTATGTCCATTTTTAGGTATGACTGATAGAATAAACTGTTACAAAAATGTTACAATTTTCTTGAAACTTCAAAATGTGACAAACTAATTTGGTTATACTGCTGTGAATTGGAATAGGCTATGGAATTAGTACCAGTCCAATACATTTCAATACACCCAAAATTGCCTATACTCATATTTAATATACTTGTAATGATTTCTAGATTTTAGGAATATTTTAGAAAGTTTTTATTTGATATCTGGTTATTGAGCATTTTACTAGAGTGAGTCAGAAAGATATAGACTATTATCTATTTTCTGATAATTATAAAAATTGAAAACCTACAAAACAATGTAAATACTAGTAAAAAAATATGTAGCCTACATTAGCATATGAAATTTAATTTACTCTTGCCATGTGTATACCTTTATGTTATCAGTGGTAATTTTGTTAAATATAATGATCTGATTGAAGTCAATTAAATTCCTATTAGTGATATGATGTACAAAAATCATATTATATTCTTGGTATGAGGTAATAAAATCAAATTCATGTCTATATATTTGAAGCACATCTTTAAAAGTAGTATAGAATATAGCATTAGTAATCACTAATCATGTAATATGAATCAGTATTGGCCATGGATAATGCATACTAATGATAACACAATTTACGCTTGACCCAAGCATATTGAAGCATATTTATGACTGAGTGATGAATAATTATGCATTCAGTACTAGTTTCTGTTATAGTTAGTTTAGTAAGTGAATCATATTGATAGTTGAATACACCTACACTATAGTACTGGTAGAAAAATATTATTTTAAAACATTGAAAAACGGAAAACACAAAGAAAATTTTTGGAATCGTTGGCTTACCACTGAGTACAATGGCTTCGTGGTTAGCAAGAGAAAAACTATGAAAAATAGTGATAGTCTATTGATAAATTATAAATTGAATCTACTAGTATCGGCTTTACATCCTTGCTCAGAGAGTATATAACATAAGAAACGTAATATTTTTATTAGTGAAATACAGTGTAATATGATATTACATTACAGATCAATACACCTAATATTTCTGAGAAATGTGAAGGATAAGCATACTGTGCGATACCTATTTCTAGGATATGATATGATAATGACGTATATTAGTGAAATATAAGTTTCGGACAGCATGAACTCATGACGTAACTTCATTGGCCTACAAGCCCTACATTTTTTGAAGTATACAATATAGAAAAATGTCCTAAACCAGTGTAACCTTGAATATTAAGCAAAAATAATAGAAAATTTTATTCCCAATTAATGCCAATTATTTAATATATTTGGAAAAATATTTTCAATAATATATACATTGTGTCAAATAGTTTTGAAATTTATATTCTGTTCAAAAATTGACATTGTTGCTATTCTACCACTTTTGCTATGAATCAATTGCCTGCCTGATAGAGAAATATTTATTTATTTATCTATATAGTCACACAGAAAAAGCTCAATACAGCAAGCAATAACTTTGCTCAAAGGTTGGTTCTGATTATGAATACATACTGACAGTTGAATATACCTTTCAAATAGCAAAACTCAAAAAGTATGAAATGTAAAATTATTATGATCAAAATATAGACACAATAATAGCAAATTAAAAAGCAATTATCTTCTTCTTACCTTGTCCTGATGTAAGATTATGTTCCCAGTCAGTGAGATCACTTAGCATAGCACTGAGATCAATGTCGACTTCAGAATCAGCTGAAACAAAATTCAAAAAATTTTCGATCAGTTTTTTATGAAGGTAATATTTAAACTTTCTTAGTAGAGTCTGTGTTACAAACTCATTTAGAGGTCCATAATATAATAATTTGACATAAAATATAACTACAAGTTCTAGGGTGACGTTTTCCACGAAAATTGTCTGATAAATGTATATATATACAAACAAGAAAAAAATGAGAACAATATTTCGATAGTATTATTACTGAATAATTGAGATTTATAGGGAAAAAAAAAATTGAACGAAACCAGCAAGTTTTTACCCAAATTTTCATTCGAAATTTTATAACATTTAAAGATCTATTGTAGATGCATTAAACAGGCGTTATAATGTAATAATAAAATTGAAGTGAAGTTATATAGCACTGAGTAATAAAAATGGACTCAGTTTTAATGGATAGTATGTAATCCCATAAAGTCCTACAGGAACTAATATTAAAGTCATAAAATGCTGTAAATTGCTAAACACAGGTCATAGATACCTCTTGCTTAAAAAATTAAATTATGAATGGCCCATACTCAATTTGATAATTTATCTAAATTTTTACTTTTTTGACTAGAACTCTTTGTTGTGTTTGTCAACAAATGGAACTGATCATGTCAGATTAGAATGCTTAGTGTCTAATCCAGATGAAGATTATAAACCAACTTGAACTACAACAACCTTGTAGTTTGTGAATAGTTGGAGCACAAAAAATGGAAAAACAAATTCAATGAGAATAAGATTATAAGATTGTACTTTAATTCAAATTTAGCTGAAAACGGAAGCCCCAAAAATTTTTTTTTATAAATTAGTATACACTTCATTGCTAAATAACTTTGATATAAGTTGGATTTAGAATGTAACGGCTGTATACAAAAAATTTGGTGGGTCACAGGAAACTGATCTTCGAGCGAAGTCACTGGCAACTGAAGCCATGAGCCAAGCCATGAGCCAAGCCAAGAGCCATGAAAAATTAAAACAGAGAATATGCTAGTAACTCCGCTGGCGCTAGACGGCTTGAAGCAGTTCAGCTTCAATAAAATCCGGAAAACAGCTATAATGGAGTGAATTCTAGGTACCGTAACCTAACCCTATAAAAAAATAACAGAATACAAAGATTCAAAATTTACAGTTACTAACGATATCATATCTTGCTAAAGATAACCAACACTTATATAAATCTACGAGTACTATACTCTTAGCAATATACATATTTAAAAATAAGTATTTCTATTGTATTATATACCTGAGACATTGACTTGTGGTGGCCTTGTGTAGCTTTGTGAGCTGGTGTCACCTAAAAGAAATACAACAAAATCTCAAAATATGACTTAATTACTAAAGAAAACTTATCCTAAATAAAACATCACAAACCTTCTTCCATATTCTCATAGTAAGTTAATAAAGGACCAATGTTGACTGCACTTCCCAACATTTTATAATGAAGTAAATTAAATACGCCCTGTATAATTTTGGAAGTTTCCTAAAACGTTGTGCAGACAACAACGTCACAGTAACAAATAAATATAACTGAAAAGCACGATTCGGGTCCGAAAGCTCTCCCTTAATTTGCTATTATTGATCAGGAAACATGATATTTCAATGTCCTCATTATGTTTTATGACACATATGGAACAATTTTTATCTGAAATATCAGTTCAACTTGAAAAGATAGTGATAGTATATTGGGTATTGAAAGGCAAGGAATTGACTGCTAAATAATAGAAAACACAGTATGGAAAGAAATAAGAATAATAGAATGAAAAATCAAGTTTTATAAAAAGAGAGCAATCAGGAATATTTTGGAATCTTTAAAAATCAGACATTTGGCACTCAAACAACCTCTGACAGATGACATACCGTAGTTTGGTAATAAAAAGATAGACACATTTTTAAAAATTCATTGAAATGATTGTAAACTGGTACCGTCAGGAAACAGCTAATCATTATTAATTGCTGAATCTACGTTTGCCAATTTTTTTGTGAAAAGAAGAATGTACACATAAAGTTAGTTCAGTACAAACTAATCAATATAAGAAGATTAACATTTAACACAAAGAGAATATAATAAACGATATTTATGTTTATTTTGTTATTAAGATTTCTTACAGAAAACAAACCATGAATTTAGAATAAGATGGTGGTAATGCGCAAGAATGCCAAGGAAATTTTTTTTAGCAGTTTGCTTATAATTTACTTTATATAATCAAAGTAACATAGGATTAAGTTACTTTTAGGTTAATGAGCGTACCATCAATCATCAATATTTGGAAAAATAACAATAATTCTATGAAGATTGTCTGGCTTTATGACATACAGATGTGTTTTCATTTCCTTAAACTAAAATAATATACATAGGCAGTAAACAACAGAATACTGTATATACAATACCAATTGAACAGTTATACAGATGCTTATGCAGCATGTTTTTATATGTTCCACTTCATGTATTATCATCAATTTAAACCTAGGCACTTGCAGGCAAGTAATAAAAGATATTCTGGTTTGATTTATGTTATATTTCTACAGTTTTCATAAATTTAATTAAGGCCCGTCTGGTCATACTGTGAAATTTCAATTGCTCAAAATGATGATTTATCAAATGAAACTCTTAATCAAGAGTTTAATATATATAATATAACTTATCGAAATACAATTGTTTCACATCGAAACATTGGTTACACCAAGCCTGATTATGAGGGTGTTCTTCCATCCATATCAACAAACGTCCCATGTTGCTAGTATAAAGCAAAGTGTGTTGAGAATTTGTATACTATAAAGTTGTAAATAATATTTCAAACTTACTGCTACTGGATTGAGAATAAGATGAAGATCTATTTGTATCTTTCTCTGATGGTTTAGGTGGAGGAGCTTTATCAATTGTGTCATCCATCAATTGCTAAAATTAAACAGTAAATGAATTACAACACGATTTGTAAAAATAACAAGATTATATAATTTTAAATATAGTAATGTGCACGTGATATCAATAATAATTGAGACATTTATAAGGCTTAAAATACACATATCTGAAATGTCTTGTAATCAATAATCAAACAGTTTATGCACATATCATATCCATATGTTTGTTTTTTAGGCTGCACAAAGCCCAGGTTGTTTTTGTGATGCACAGACTGAAGGCATTTCTTGTCTATTTTCTATGCAATATAATACCTGACAAAAGGTAACTCAGCCATTTTCCATATTAGAAAATAGCAGTAAAAAATCCATATTCCAATGGCATCTAGCCAAAACATGAATATGTCATTTTCTTGCAATTTAAAGTTTTTTCATTAACCTTTTATTTGTCAGTTAATGTAATTAAACTTATCATAATTATAAAGCAATGAAGGTTGATAATAGAATAACTCTACAAATTTTTGAATATCCTGTTACTTATATCAATTTAACGATTATGGTGTGGAATGTTTTTATGAGATTAATCGCATATTAAAGTGGCACCAAACTTTGTATATTAATTTTGTTTAAAATGGACAACACATGTTATAAGTCACAACATGAAAAACACAATTTTTGTCTATAGTATAAAAATACTCAAAACAATGTCCCAACATACTGCTATGATCAGTAGTACTAGCGTATATGAAAAGAATTTTATTATTGTATAATAGCTATAATTAAACATCATGATTGTTATTGAATTTAGACAAATTTAGAATGAACCAAAATAGGTAAAACAGAGATGTAAAAGAAGTAACCAGGTAACCTTAAAGTTCAATACTCTAATGGTAGTCTACAATGTCAGACTAACTATCAATAAAGGTTAAATCACTTGGGTTTCAGTTTATGTTAAAAAAGATGTAATAAATTGGTAAGACAAATGATATTTGAGAAACAGAAAAATTTCATGTTGAATGTAGGCTATAGATATCCAGTTCTGCATTATGTTTAAATAGATTTCATCATGCATAATTAAGCATATAAAAAAGGCTGCCAATTTTATTTTACAATTAATGAAGAAAATAATAATGATAACAAATGGGTTCTGTGTAGCATCTACAAATGATCGGGAATTTTATTTGAATGTTATACTTTATGAATCAACTAAATGGTTGCAGAAACAAAGATGACAGACCTTGTGAATAATAGTGAATTGAACAGCACTGCTTTTGGATTAAACAGAAGATCATAAGTGATAATAATATTAAAGCAAGCTAGAAGTCGCAGGTTTCATCATCTCAAAGTTAACCCTGTCCATTTCCAAACTATAACAAAATTTGACCCCTATAAATCCAAATAATTAAACTTTATCACAGGTATCAAAATGAGGCAACCTGCAACACCTTGATAATATAAACCAACACTCACCTGAGATATAATATCAAGCTCCCCCAACATATCATCAAACATCGCATCTAAATTTGCTGTATCCATGGTTCAAGTTTGTTTGGCCTTTTTCAAGCCCTCTTGATCTTTTACACTTTCCTTTTACTACAGTTGCTGTTGTTTATATTACTAACACAATGATAATCAAAGGTCGTCTTTGAAGTTTCCAACAGTCAAGTATATTTTATCTTTGATTTCCAATTTTATTATCCAGTGTTTCTTTGCTATTATATTACTTGAATCATTCAGCTATATTTTAGTGATAACGTGCATAACTTAAAACCTAACATGTTCTAAATAATGTTCAAAAAGTTAATTATTGTGTTAACGTTCTCTCCGGCTAGCATAATACAACACCACAGTAATATGTAGCAGTTCTGTCGCCAGTCAAATTCGAGTAATGTAATGTCAGGTTGTAACCGTCTAATTCGATAATTTCTTCTTGTGAAAGAGGTTAAATTAACATTTAACGTGCAATTACGGAGTACAAGGTCGCTAATATCGACTAGATTTTCCGTTTATCGTCACGCAGGCGATAAAATGGCAAGCAAACAACTACTAGTTCGGCTGAACTGACGTGAGCAAAATTTAGCCGACGGCTAACCTACTTTAAGATCCCTTCATACAACATCCAAAAACGTCTTCGAAAATATTGAAAACTGCTCAAAGATAACAACTATAATACTAATATATAACAAAGTTTGCCATAAACATCGCTTCAATCTCAAAATAAACTATCCTGGATTAATAATTTATAAAATATATTTTCCATTGGGAACACTGCGCTTCAATCGACCGTATCCGCAATGGATAAAGGGTCCTTCTGCACAACGAGAGGTACATTTTTAATGTTACTCGCCTAAAATAACGGGGATTAACATTAGCGTGATGTCGAATGAATCAGACCCAATAACTACTACACAACATAATAAAATAACGCCGTCGAGCATTACCCCCTCCTTCGGCAATATATTTTTTTTTATGGAAGTAAATACTAATAACGTAACGCAGATTCGTCACAAAAATCCAATGACTCAGACGTTCGGCGATACGTCACAACGTCAACAAAGGTGTTTGTGAATTTGTGTTTCGTCAAGCACGCAACGAAGATAAGTCAATTATACCACTGTTTCGCCCATGTACGTTCCGCGCTTGGCTTAGCCTTCTCTACGGCGCTAAATTGATAGCAGTTAGCCTCAATGACCCCAAGGCTACAATAGAAACACAACAAAGCAAATTGTATTTTGCATATATATATCATACACGGAAAACGTTAAATTACTGAAAACCAAAAGTGCGCAGAACAGCCTATTATCGTGTCGTATTTCTGACGTTATGTACCGCTCAAACGCATCTAAGACAAATTTCAATCGATGATAAAAGTAAATAAATAAGCTTTCTGGTCCGACATGCTTCCTGCCCAATTCTTTGTTTACGGACCATCAGCCAACTCAAAAATAGATCCTGTATGATAGTAATTCGGAAACAAAAATATTACAAAACTTTTGATCGAACGTTTGACGTTTGCATATTGCTGACCAATGGAAAAACCAGATGATCTAAATTTTAAACTAAACGATTCTGCTGGTATAACAGTATGCCCTCACGCTAACTCAAAGTCAGTACGCCGAGAACACCTTATCGCGATTAGCTAGTTACTAATTCGTACTACCAGCGCAAAATATCCAAATAAATCGATGGGACTGCTTCGAACTTTCGGAGTATTATTCACGATTTGGGGTCTCGGTTTGCGGAGATCTTGACTGGTTGGCCGTAATTGTCGTCGATACGTATAGAAACACAATATGGAATCAGTCAGGCGCTACACTTTAAAATTGATACTGTGATCGGACGAAATGGGGAAAAGGAGTTCTCACTTGTCGTCTGGGTTCTCTGCTTACAATCTGCGAAACCGCAGGGCGCTTCGTATGCCAAGAGGCGACAAATTCAATTCGCAATTTCATGGTTTAATCCCTGCCACTAATACTTAGTCATATACTAATACCGACCTGTACCAATATTGCCACACGCGTAACTTATCCTGCCGCGAACAACTGTGCGGCAGCTAACTTGATAAATTATTCCTCGCAGTTTGCAAAAAGCTGTTTGATCGATAAGTCGACATTTTACAACTTGTAAGGTAAGCGGAATTAGTGTACCAACAAGCAAGAACCACAAGTAAATAACTGTTGTGAGGAACTGAAACATGTCTACGATGAATTTACAGCAAATGATGAACATTTCCGGTGACATGGTGTGTTAGTGCTGGCAAACCCTGTCGATCATATGTTATGCCCAAACATAAATCAATAAATTTCGCATGTTACATCTCTAGACCATACAAAGTACAGTATTGATTTGCACATTTGTAATGCAATACGTAAGAACGGAAGGTGACTTAGTAATGATTTATTTAGTTAGCATTATCATTTAAGTTGCTTAGACCTCAGATGTAAAAATTCACAGAAATAACATGTCACGTTACAGTAGTTCAGGGGAGAAAGATGTATTCTGTATTTTACTAATGATCGAAAATGCAACTTTCTAGGTTTAGGCCAGGAGAAACGACATGAAACTGAAATCGAACATGTTTCAGAAATCAATTGAATAAACAAATAAATATTTTAAACTCTGATACGCCAAATAAGTAACATATGCACATGACACACAATTTATTCAGATGGCGGGGATGCGGAATAATGCACACGCCATGTTATTTTCGACGATTCCGAACTGCTGCTCTATACCGATGGTTACTGTGTTATCGAGGGAATCTATTTTAATGAAACAAAAAACTTTATGCCGCTAATCAGAAATTACATCTGCTGAACCATATTACTCGCCGCTTTCAGGTTCTACCTGATGCCAACGACGTACAAGCCTTCGACCCTGCTAAATCGTATACCCCACTTTGCTGTATTCCAAAATTTTGGATCTTTATTTACAAGTAATATTCGCTCATTCTTCTCAGATCACTTATAAAAATACAAAATATTCATCAAAGTAAAATAATATGACTCAAACGAAACCTATTGTAGTTTCATACGAAAGTTCCTAAAACTTGCAGGAAGAAGAACGATCAACGTCTGTTATAAGGAATAAAAATAAATCTCCGAGTAAACAGTGGAGTCGCGCGGGCACTGTAAATATCCGTTTGTTCGGGATACTATTACACAACTTGGAAAATTAACTAAACTCCATACGTGATTAATTTGAAACATTGGACTATCTGGAATGACTTCCAAGGTATTAAAACGAAATCTAACAAGTACATGTATAATGTTTTATAACCACAAAATTCAAGTGAATCGACTTTTCGTTTTGTAATCTGTAATAAATTATGTAGGCCATAACTTCTCGCATCCGTTACAAACTGATAACAGTTATCGAGAGTCCATTCATATATAAAAGTCTACAATAACTATTTCGCGCCGAAAGATTGATATGTATATATATTGCGTACAAATTAAATACTCGCTGTCTCAAAATTAGGGTTATGATGTGGAACGAAAGTCATAATCTATCAACGAGCTGTGCATCTGATTTGAAAGCGTTATAGGCTTATCACTACTGTGTTGTTTTTATCGACTAAAATACAACAAATGCCAGATTCGTACAATAACTAACTGCCCGTCCAGAGACTTATACGGAGCGTACACTACTTAAAAAACGATTTCTTAAAGTTAAAGTTCACTTCTTCTATTATGACGTTAAAAAATATTTATGTAAAAACACAAACATTATCATTCACGTAAACTGTGTCTCGGCATTACCAAGGTTCCAATGTCAGTCATATTTGTTTATTGTTATGATTCATCCGGATTTCGTAAGCTTTTTTATAATCTACGAAATTCCAGCATTCTAGGGAGAAATTCGTTTTAATATCTAACTTATGAGCATGTACACTTTCGTTTTCATTTACCAGCGACATACCTCCTTTTGGCAATGCCAATATACTGGCGGTCAGATCACATGTAATCGTTAAAATGGCATGCTATTTTCGTGTATTCAAAAAAAGTCAGAATGCTCTTTGTTTCTTCTTGGATAGAACAATTTTTGACAATTTGTACGCGTTCGTACGATTTGCATGAAACAGAACTTTTTTGAGGTACCTGGTAATAGACGTACAACCTCTTGTTCATATTATTATGCCCAAGAAAACTTACATATTTACACAAGAATGAGCCCTGTTCTCAAAGAAATGGCTTGTCATTGAAGACCACCGTTAGCATTCGAAAAAAAGTGGAGTGGTAACTTATGCAGCATTAGATGGTTTCCGGAGGGTGACCTTGATTGGCGTCTAAGCATGGAATGTTTCTACATATCAAATAAGGTTGCGACTATATATTCAAATAAATGAATAATATATAACATTATTCAAATATTATTAAGCCGATTCTACTAAATAAATTACTAAATAAAATCCCACCGAATTCTATCGTGCCGTTTTGTAGTCGACTGCAGCTATAGTGCCAGTTATGGGGAAATATCCAATATTATTTTCAAAAAAAAAATTCGATTTTATACTGTAGGTAGATTATCGTGCCCCAAAGCCAAAAGAGAACCCTAAGCTGTTTTGTGGTAAATTCGGCGAATATAATCTAGGACGTAGTTGCGAACAAAACTTGAACATGAGCAGCCCTGGAGCCGCCACGTAATGCTAATTTCCAAAGCACTGAATGCATAAATAGATATGGATTCACGTGCATTATACGCCAAGGACGTGAAAAATATGTACAAACTCTCAATGTCGTGTGCTTAAAATAGCGATTAACTCTTTAGGTTCATGCTGAGATCCCAACGTCTGGCATTGAATAAAATTCCCCAAATGGAAGTAGAGTTTGCTTTTCATTGGTTTAAAGATCTGAACTCGAATTGGCCTGTAATAATGGTCATGACTTTGTTTAGTAGTAACCACTAACAATAAACTGTCGGGTGTCGAACATGTCTTTTCTTCAAACTTAATTTTCTAATGTTATCGCTACGAGAAAGCAAAACGTGCTGTATTTGATTTTTATCAACTATAATGTACGCTCAACTCCACAACTTAACATCAATCCCTATTATATCTGGCATATGACGGCAATAGGCCAATTACATTGACGCATTGCCAATGGGGGCCTCTTCTTGGAGCTGTTGTCGGTAGATTAGTAATAGTATTGTATTTTATTACGTCCTACAATAAGTCTACCAAACACGATATGTAGGCGTTGTTTCTTGAACCCAATAATTATCTAGTGACCATGTTTGAATGGATATGGTGTTGACGCTAATGAAGTTATAATACAACAATGTTGTCGGTTAGCCCGAGT